AGAATTCATGTAAGCAAATAAATACCTAATTTGTAAGTAATTCTGGGTGGGGTTATCAAGAAAAGGTTTGAAGAAATATGGAGACTCTACTAGAAGAAGATGTGATAGAAGCAGTAGGTTATTTTATTCATCATTGATAATCGAGTACTTAAAATTCTTCTGTTAAATCTATTTTTTATCTTTCATCACACAGTGGCTATATAGCAGTTGTAATTAGCAGTTGTTGAATTTATTCACCATATGCAATAGTTCTAGTCAATGAATATAAATATTTATGTTTAGTTCATACAATCAATATCAACACTGTATCGTAAAATATTTTATCATGGATAACATACTCCTAGATGAATTTGACGTAAGAATTTGTGTCTTCTGACTGTCATTGATTTCATGCGAAGAGATATTTCATTCATTCCAATAGTACAAACATAGTGTGACCATGACTACATTTTGTTGAGTGATTGAACGTTTGACATCAAAATAGTCAGTTATTTTGGATCATATTGAATTGCAGTTCTCATTATTGTATACAAAATGGTTGGGTTGGAGCTGATATTTCAACAAATTTTAGAATTTATTTGTAAATCTCACATTGACATCATGTCATTTCTTGACAATTTGTTGACCACTTCCCATTTGTTGACTAATTCATTGACTTCTCTATATATACTTTAGTTCTATTTATTTCTGTTTTGGTCTAATTTGACTTTAACAAGTTGTGAACCAATTGAAAAAGGAGGCCAGTTGACCCTGGGTAACAGCTGCTTGAAAGTTTAACTTTTCATGTCGATGTGATCAATAAACTTGTGTTGGAGTTGCTGATTCATGTGCTGAAAAAACCAATACCAACAATATAGGCCAATTAGTTTTAGAACTGATACAGCTTTTGAAAGCTTACAAATCCAATTTTAATCTACCGGTAAATGTTAAAGGCTCATTATAGCATTTAGCTAACATATAAACAAAGAATTGTATTTGCTCGCTTATTTCATGATATAGCTATTCAACCCTGTTCCAAACAAATCAGCTGAAGTATGAGAAAAATTTTCTTTTTTCTTTCTTTCGTGATTGCTGGGAAGCTCTGTAAAAATTCATATATTCAACTATTTCGTAATGTCACAAACCAGTCAAATTTCATTGAAATGCTGTAACATCTCGTTAAATTCTATCAATTGCAATATTGGGTGTTAAAAATATTGGAAAACTTGTCACTCGTGAACAAGGCTGCAAAATTTGATACTTTTGGGTATAGAATTGCGTATTTTTTAAAAAGATTTAATTATTGAAGAAGGTCCTGAATATGGTATAATCTTTATATACAATTTCAAATACCAAAGGGAAGGCAGCTATCACCAGCTTTTTTGTAGAAAGACAAGAAAAAGACAAGAATATATGATATATATTCAAATAAATCATGAGCCACACATTCAGTCCATTTTTTTCCCAGCCTTTGCATGGAAGTAGTACTAAAGCATTCTGGGAAAATATTTAAAAAAATACAATAATACTTAGCAGACTCTGATGGTGCTTATGCATACATAAGAGATAGGTACAGAAATTTAAAATATTATTAGTTCTAGGAATATTGTGCTTTGGCTCAACGGTTATCATTTTAAATTGTAAAAGTCTTTAAAATTATGAAGAACTTTCAATAAAGTTCAGTGGCTAAATAATACTGCATCCATGATTCATGCCTAAATTATGTTGTAAATTTTTCAATTGACTAATCAAATATCTCATTACAACAAGACTTGGTATGAATTGATGACTGTTTTTGGTTTATGTCCATATAAAATATTACATGAAGGGCAGTCAGAGACTAGATGCAATGAGGTCAGGGTACACAATTTTTGCATTAACCTATTGTTCGAAACATATAAATTGAGACGTTAGTGGATATTTCCTCATATATTAGTATTTTTACAATGATGATTGCTTGTAATTAAAGTCATGTTGGACATAAATAATGAAAACAGGAAATTATATATATATTTGAAATATTTCATTAATAATTACTATTGTAAACTCCCAACAGAGATATTTTACAGCTATATATCAGTTTAGATATATACTGCAGAACATATTTTATAGTGACCATTTTCCGCTTACTTGGCAATAGCGTAGATGTTGATTGAGGATCTAGTTTCTGCAGTTTGAACAGCTCATTTTTTGTTTAGATTATTGTATTTGCCCAATATATATTGCTGAACACTGGTTCGGACTTTTACAGTGGTTCTGTAATTGTTCACAAATTCTTTTAGCTTGAACTCACACTGAAATTGTAATTATAATATAGGTATTTAACAAAATAATAATTTCAAATCATTCTTGAATTCATGTATCCAAGTTTTATAATTGAAGTTTTGAATTATTTTACCCATGTTTGGACTGCTATTGGAACACACTGTTAAACATTTTATGCAAATTTATTCTGAAACTTGCTGTGATTCGCATGGGAAAATGTTCAATGCTTAAAAATAATTATATTTGTGAGTCTTTTATTCATGAATTCATAATTTAATTAGCAGTTTGACCTTGTATTACATGCGTATCTTTCTAAGCGATTTTACATAATCATATATATAAAGCCAACTTGATTCAATCAATTGTATGGATAATATAGGTTTAAAAGATATGGAGGAAGCTATGAATAGTATTACCCTCGAAACTATCAGTAACATTACTCAAAAGTAGACAAGATGGTGTAGTAAGATAATAGTTTTCATCACTCAGAACATAGTGATATGGTTTGGGATCGTATGCCCTTTGAGTTATTATTTTTAGACATTTTCGCCCTGAGGGCATGAGGATCATTACCATCAACTTGTATATGCATGATACAACTTGGTTAATGTTACTTTTGTTCTAATCTAAGTAGAATATGTTTGTATTAGAATATTTCTGCAAGTAGGCCAAAAAATTAAATTATTTGATGAGTTAAAGTCTTTATAAGGATTGGTAAAGATCAGATTTTTAGCATAACTTTGCACTTTGCCATTCTCAGAGGTGAAAATTGAAATTCATATTACTTCAATGTGACAGCAGGAAATAGATCATTATTCATACTTGACTAATCTTATCTGTTTATTTGCTGAGGTGTGTTTGTTTCAGAAACATTTTAATAACATACAGTCATTTCAAATTAGATTCAAGAAGTAATCAGATGAATATATCATATATATCAATGGTGTTTCTTATTTACTATAGTTTCACTTTGTAGCTCGATTTTTCATCCTATCATCTGTCATTTGCACTATTTCCTATTTGCACCTAGATTGATTTCAGTTTCCTGCAATTATTTGCTTTCAAATGCTATGCTTTTCCCATATGTCTTGGTTTTCTTTTCCCGTATGTCTTTTTAAGTGGCATCAAAGTTTAAATCTTGTAATATCCAATAATTTCTCGGTTAAATTTTTTGACGAGAACAATTAAAAATGCTGGATGATAGCTCGACAGAAGAAGAACAAGAAGAAATTCTTTATTTGGTTAAACCAGACCAACCAAAAAGATATTATGATGAGGTAAAGTAGTTTTATTTGCTTGATTCTAATGTGAAAGGTGCTTCGTCCGAATACTTGACTGGATGGTAACAGTTGAAATCAATTTTCTGACATTTATATCAGTGAAGCAACACTCCTCAAGCATTGATGACCTGCTGTATTTAAATAAAAGCTATGAGTCATCTATATTATATTCATGATTGTGGGCACTTTTTTGTTTATTGTTTATTTTCAGCTCATATTTACCATATTAATAAAAGGATTTGCCAGTAAGATTTTGGATAGCCAAAATATGTGGATTGTATATAACAATAATTTATCACTCAAGTGTGGGCAATTCGTGATTGTCAGCTCACACTAATTTCGTATGAAGCCAAATTGACAGAGAAAAACTTGCTATGTATTTATTTGGCAGATGAAAATACAATTAATTATTAGGTCCACTTGAAAAGAAGTGTATCAATAAAAGCATGGGTATACTTACAGTAATCACCTCAACATATTTTAATCCCAACCATAACAATTCTTACTGTGCACTGACTGAGCTAGCCTTGTCAACTCCAGTTGCCAATATATTATACACAAAACAAATATTAATTGGTTGGTGTGAAACTCATCAACACCTCATCTGTGAAGTTGAATTTCATATAATCAAGTTTACTGATTGACATTCTTAAGTATTTGATACAACTAATGTTTAGATGAGTTTTCTTATAGTACAGTTATCGAATATTATGTACGACACCTAATGTATCTTGAATTTCAAGCCATACTAATTTTTGCCCTTCTTTGTTTGTTTATTTTTATATTGCTGTTATACACCAATATGAACGCCTTTGTGGTTGCAGCGGGTAATCATATAGACTTTGGTGATTTCATTTATATTACAACTCGCAATAGTAGTTGATACATTGCGTCTTAGATTGAATGTTCAGCATTCCCTTGTGGTTTATAAATAATTGCTTTTGTTCCAACGTGAGATGAGGTAACCATTATGAATTTATCAATCTGCCACACTTAAACAGTAAATAATTCTAAGAATTCAAGATACTTTGTGAAATGTTCGCGTTAGAGAATTAAACAAAATAAAATTTATTCAGGCACATATAAAACTATTTCATTGTGGGTAATAAATAATAGGCCGCTTTAGTAAGCTCACAAATTTGTAAGATATTGATTTAGTTTCCCATAACATGCCATAACAATGAGCAACATACGGTAGGTATCGTGTATGCTCTCTGAAATTTCAGTTAAACGTGTTATAAAATTCTATTGATATACTTAATCAATACTTGCTCTGCATATGACTAATTATGTTGCTTGAATTTCTTCAACATCGATTGTAATATGATCACATTATTAATAATGTCAGTGAGAATAATAGGTGTGGCAGTGTTGTCTATTTTTATGTGAATTATTTGCTGTGATCATTACTTATAAAGGTATTTTAGTTAAAATTTGTGGATGACAAAAAATAATTTTGAGAGATAAATTTTCAAAACATATATTCTATTGTTTTGAGAATGTTAATGGTCAATTTGTAGACGTTGGCATTATATGGCAGAAGTTCGGACTCTTAATTATTTTTGGTTCGAGTTGAAAATGTATCTCGCAATTGTATATGTGTTGAAAACTCACCAAAATATGATTAGGTTTTATTCCAAACATGTATTTCTTAATATGTGGTTTATTTTATTAGGCTATATGTTTTTAGTTAAACTTATTGGTTTTCACTTTGCTAAAGATTTTTGTAATGAGGATTTTGTTGTCTGACTATACTGTTGCTTGTCGCTTCTAAAAAACTTCAATACACATTAATCTACACCTCAACCGTGCCAATAAAAAATCAATATTCAAAATGTTAAAATGAATCTAATATGTGTCATTGCACTGATGGTATAATGCATGCATATTGTTATATAAAAAGAAAATATAAAATATTGCAATGTAGAGGTTGTGGGACATTATTCATTCAAAGCAGAATACATATTTCTGAGAAAAGCTGAGATTTAGCATAGTATCTCCGATTGATCTGATAAATTATTAATGAACCGTATATGATGACATTACTGATTTTGTACCCCTTCAAATTTTTGCCCAATGATGACACTGTTTCTCATGATGCTATAAAAATAGCAGCATTTTGTATAATGTGACTGGCGAATACGGACAGCGTAGAATATTTTGAAATGGATGATTTACAAAAAGATCATTTACCCTACGAAGAGGTGAGTGGTGTCAATATGTTTGTATTTTACATCTTATTTTTTAAATATCTTGCAATTCTGGTTTTATATTATTCAAGTGTTAGGCGCTGTATGAATTACCTAATTGAACTTGTGCATTCTAATTGAATTACTGATATTTTTTTCATATTCAATTCACCAAATGAAATTTCCTTAATAAGTAGCACAAGTATCATTAAATTTGATATCTTGGCGTCATGTTAAGGTATCTTCCTATTGCTCATGTTATAAATAAGGCCGGAAACAAATGATAGGTATAGTTCCTATACATTTCCTGTTATATTTAACGTTTATATACTTTCACTACCTCAATTCATTTAATCATAAGCTGATGCATATAAGAGTGTAGAAATATGCATGCTTATATTTTGCCATTTTTTGACTTGTGGGAATTATCATTGTAATAAAATGTCTTCTCTGAAACTAGAAAATTTAACAAAAGTTGATTATCTTACATTGAAGAATGAGTATATTCCCTATCTGGAGGTATGTATGTCTAACGTCTTGAATAAATATATAAAGATTACAGAAATTGATTAAAGTAGTTGCAGAGTTAGACAATTGAACTTGTGCATTCTAATTGAATTACTGATATTTTTTTCATATTCAATTCACCAAATGAAATTTCCTTAATAAGTAGCACAAGTATCATTAAATTTGATATCTTGGCGTCATGTTAAGGTATCTTCCTATTGCTCATGTTATAAATAAGGCCGGAAACAAATGATAGGTATAGTTCCTATACATTTCCTGTTATATTTAACGTTTATATACTTTCACTACCTCAATTCATTTAATCATAAGCTGATGCATATAAGAGTGTAGAAATATGCATGCTTATATTTTGCCATTTTTTGACTTGTGGGAATTATCATTGTAATAAAATGTCTTCTCTGAAACTAGAAAATTTAACAAAAGTTGATTATCTTACATTGAAGAATGAGTATATTCCCTATCTGGAGGTATGTATGTCTAACGTCTTGAATAAATATATAAAGATTACAGAAATTGATTAAAGTAGTTGCAGAGTTAGACAAATGGTTTAGGAATGAGTGAATTACTAATTTATTAAGAAAATAGTATGTTTATTATATTATAATAAAGTTATCACGTTTATTCAATGAAATTATTCGACAGAAAAAGTATTTAAAGTTATATGTCTGTGTAGAAGTTTAACACAACTGTGGCTCATATGTCATTGTACTTTGGTGTGGCTCATATGTCATTGTACTTTGGTTATATTTTGTTGTCAAAATCTAGTATAGTTGAGAATGGCCCATTGGATTTTGTCATCAATGGTAGTATTGTATGTAATAAGTTGTACGCATAATTTAGAATATCTTGATTTGCCGAAAACAAAATTTGAGTAGACAAACTCGTGATAATTGATAATTGAAAAATGAATATCGGTATATATACAGGGTGGGCCTAAAAATTTTTTTTTTTTTTACATTCAGAATGTAAAAAATGGTAACATTTTTTGGCCTACTCTGTATATATATATTATGTTGATATTTCATATATTATTTCAAGGAACTTATTGTAATCTTAGTGAATGGAAGTCAAAGGTCTATTGGCTCAACTCAATATTCTACATATGATGCGAATATTATGGTAGCCACATTATATGACCACTAACACAAACACCTTACCTTAGGGACGTTATGGGCATGCAGTAGGTATATGATGCAGACAATATTGATTAGGATCGTAGCATACAGTTTTGTGAGAAATGAAATAATTTATTTATTTAGGCAGTAACTATTACGAACTATTACGAAAATGAATTACTCTGATTAGAACTATTGATAAATGCTGTAAAATCATATTGAAATTTGCCTTTATGGATTATTTTTATATGTATGAAGTATATTATCTATACAATTTATATTGTGATATTAAACTTCTTTCCGCTGTGAAAAAAATACAGAATTCAAGCCTCACCTTCTTGAATTTTAGAGAATTACATATTTTTCTTAATATGGCAAATACCATATTTTACTACTTCAAATATTTATATTGCGTCCTTCTATATTTGCTAACCCCTCTCCTTCTGTATTGCCGACTAAGTATTGTGTATACAGAGAGTTAGTTTCTCACATCCACTGTTCCCTAATATGTTCAACGGCAATGTCATAAGTCTGTCCTGTTACTATTTGTCTTCAATTATTGATGAAAAGAGGTGCATGCTTACTCTGCAAATATAGTCTGTCTGCTGTACTTCATGAATGAATAATGCATATACAATACGGTGGTTGTGCCCTATTGAACACATCATTTGGAAGAAGGTGTCAGTTTTACTTCCTAGGATTGGACTGTGACAACGTAGATAAGATAGTTAGTTGACAGTGATCAAGGTAAAGACTCATGTACTATCTATAACATTTTATCATGTCCATATTGTAAATTTATATAATTCATATTCAGGTTTTTCAGTCAAAAATCATTATTGTTCACAGGGAACCAGATCCGGCTGTTAGTATTCTTTTACCTTGTTCCAATATTTGAAGAGTATTATGTATGTTAAGTGCACTTGAGATCGTATTGAACATTGTGTGATAGTAATAGAACCTTTAGACGTCAACTGTATATGATGAAAAATGTAAGGAAGTTAGGTTCTTGCTAGAGGAAAGTTTTATTGGGAATTATGATTGAATGGCAGTTCTTGGTAAAAGTTTTCTTATTTCTAAAATTTCTAAATGAGTCAGTATTGTTAATAAATATGTTATGCATGTGCGAGTATTGTCAAAATGGATATAATATAGCAGTGTAAGCATAAATTTATAAATTATATGTTTGTGAGCAGCGACGGGTATTTAACTTTGTCTGCAGTATGCCAGTACACTTCTTCTTTTTCAAGTATGTATCCGCTTGAACATTTTAAATACACAGCGCAAAAATGTTGTAACAAAATGAAATATTATGCCAGAATTTTGAATTATAGTAAATTCCCAAATCAATGAAATGAGTACCAGTGATAGTTTTTTTTCGACATTTATACTTATCATGATGAACATGATTTTATTAACAATAATTTGAAGTCATTAATCTATTTTAAAGGTTGTTATTAGTGTAAGTGAAGTTCAATGAAAAAATCTGTTTTGAAAGTATGGGGGTTTATAAGATACAGGTGATTTTTTATTTGAAAATCCTCATTATTCCATATTAAATTCAACGCATTTCAGTATTTGTGTATGTGTCATGGCTAATATGCTGATATTAACATTTAAACTCTTGCTCATTTTCATTTATTCTCAAACTAACAATAGTAATATCGTTTTGCATCATGTAGCAATAAAAGTGTTGTCAATGCACGGTTTGAAACAATATGTTTATTCAATGGTGTCATGACATATAGAAAATTTTTGAACTATTTAAACTTTAAAGTCATGCTCAGTAGATAGCAGAAAGCAGTGAAGTAAATTGAAACAAAGCGAATGGCAAATGCTTATTTTGATATGGATTTATTATTTGTATTATATGATAAGATTGGAATAAACTGCCTATTGTGGGTCAAATTAATGTATCAAAATCAAACTTTCAAAACTTGTAATATTATACTTAATCTGAAACAGTGGTCAATGTAATGGTTTTCTAATTTGCGTAGTAAACCTTTTCGATAAGATATGTCAATATAAGAATGGTACATTACCTGAATTTGGTATTTACAAGCCAGTTAGATTTAACTTTATAATTAAAAAAAAATGAGTGATTATTTTCTCGCTTTCCTTCTCTCTTCCCTTCCACTTATAAAACTTGTATTTTATGCATTAACTGCATTTTACGCTCAACTGTGTATATCTATTTATGATAGTGTGGTATTATGTGTGAAATTGGAGCTGTACCAACACATAGGTAGTGAGGAATATCATGACATTAACACCAGTGAAGTACTATTGCCTTGATGAATAACAAGTGATTTTATATGTAATAAAATATGAGAAGTAGCAGTAGAGATAAATAGTGCATAGATAACTACTATATAATATATCTTACTAACAGATTATAGATATAGGTGAGTGTATGAAGAATGAGGAGATAGAATGAGTATAGATGTTGGATTTTCTGACAATAACAATTGTACAATTGAGCTTAACTTACTCAACGAGTCACAAAAAGAATTTTGTTCCAAGGTTAAGAATTTTACATTTTTGAAATTTTATCAATTTTAATGTATCGCTTGAAACATGCTCTCTTAGATCATTTTTGTACTCATTTCATTTCACAATGGCTTGGTTTCTTAGCTTGTTTCGTTCACACAAAGTTGGGACCAAATTATATTCTCCTGAGGTATATGGTGTGTGTTTGAAATTGCATGGAGATGTTTATGTGTAAATTCATTGTGTTTTCTAAATTAACTGTTTTATTGTCTATTGAAACTAAAATATATTCATTGCATGTCATTGTTCTAAATGGCATATTGCCAGTGTATAGTTTTAGATGCCATCTAGTTTTTCTTCCCCATTTAAATGTCATTTATGCTTTATCTTGTTAATTTGCAATAAGCTGTTATTCACTTTCTTAATCAGTAGGTTGGTCAAAGTCAAATATTTGGATTTTTTGATACCCCATCTTTGACTTTCGATATATTTTACAAAATGATTGCCTTAGATTAGATGTTTATATTATTCATATTTCAGGAGAAATTATACTCCAATGTTCAAGAAATCAGCAGATTTGTTTACTGTGTTGAATATTTCCCATTCATATATTTTTGTAAGAGTTCATTAGCATTTGTTATTACTCATATTACCTGATTAGTTGAATTTTCCATTTTTTCTACATTTGGATTGGGAATATTCATTTTTACCTTTATGCATTAGGAACCAGTATACCTCCGTGATGGAAGAAGAAGAGTCGACTATGTACTTGCCTATGATAATTCGGAACATGAATATGATGAGTACCGTGCTGCATTTGAGAAACAATTACGTGATCAAGGACTGGAACTGGAATATGAATCTACAGAGGACCAAACTTCATCATCTGAAGATAAATCAGTAAGAGTATAACATTTTATTAATTGTTTTATTAATAATTAATTTGTTAGTTAGTTTTTATAAATTTCGTTGTACACTTAGTGTAAATGATGAAAGTTTTTGAGACATCATTCGCTTATAAACCTATTGTTTTTATCAAACTATCAAAATATTATGATCGTTTCAAATCCAGTAGCTTTTCTTGTGCTATCACAAAATTGACTGAAGCACTGAAAGCGAGGGTCACTCCAAATCTCACTTTCCCTGCAGGTGACATATGTTGCAAAGTTATTTACATTTTAAATGTTATTTCCAATGTGTAGGACTGCTTAGTTCTTCAGATTAATGTTTCAAATCAATGTTTAAAATGATATTGTATGAGAAAATTACTGAACACACCTACCTGCTTATTTTTTTCAAAGAAATATTTGTATAATACCCCATTTTTATATTTTGTTTTTAGGAGCATGTTTCCTTCATAAAGCTGCATGCTCCTTGGGAAGTGTTATGTAAATTTGCAGAGATGACAAGAATGCCAACACCGATTGCACATAATGATCTGATAACAAATTCATCTGATATGGATTGGTCTGCTGTAAGTGAAGTGTTATTTTCATTGAACAGAAAGACGTTACTCATCAAATTTCCTGTTATTTTTCTATGTTTGAAACATATTCATCATTCGAATATTTGAGTTGACATCAGATCTAAAGTTTATGTCTGGAAAATTCAAGTTTTTTTTCAAATTCTTAATCATAAATAAGCTACCGATATGTATATAAAATATAATCACAACTTATAGATATATATCATTTGTTTCTACATTTATACAGCCATTTAAAAGTTGTTGGAGAAAAGTTGCGGCTCTACCAAGACCAAGAAAATATGGTTATAAATATAGTGACCATAGTAATGATGAAGCATTTTTCACTGCACCATTTGATATGGCAAGACTTGAAAAGTAAAATTTTCATTTTATTTATATTTTTTGAATATTAATTAAATATCAAGCATACTGTGTGATCTGGTACCTAATAAAAATAAATACATACAATGTATCATAATTTATTATGTTATAGACAAAATTGGAATTGCAAATTCTATTTTTGCAAGAATACTGGAATAATTTAAAATTGAAGAACATCGAATGCATGCATATTACATACAGAAATAATATTTTATTATTAGGTAATATTATACAAATATTTAAATTGTTAAACTGGTGAACCAATTATACAATGCTTGCACTTAGATTCATGATCAGAGACAAAGAAACCTTCTTCACAACTGCAGAGAGACAGAGAATTGTAAGATATGTGTATATTTCATGACTTGTCTTCAATTGTTGTGACACAGTTAAACTATAGTTGTGTTTGATAATTTCAAAGACATCCTGTCATTTTTAAAAATTATTGCCACAGAATTGTTTATATTTATGTTTGTACTGAAATAAATATGTACTGGAATGTTGAGGCATTGCCTACTCTGGCTATTTCGTCAATGTTAATATTGAAGCAAAAAGTTATTTATACAGCTCAAAATATATTGTGATATCAAGAGATTTGATTTGTCAATCTTCTGTGTAAATATTGAAAGTATAGTATTTTAAAAAAATAAAAAATAAATTGAATAAAAATAATGGTATCAATATATTTTAGAATTAAACTCTCCCTTATTTTATCTAGTATAGTTTTTTCGTGCAATTAACAACTGACAATTAACATTTCCTGTTATTTTTTGGGTAGGTACTCAACATATTGAATAGATCAAGATATGGAGACACTGAACTTGAAGTTGGGATAAATCGACTGATTGATAAAGGATGTTACATGAGTTATTTTCCTTTACATGAAGGGGACTGGAGACCTGAGCATCTCAATAAGACAAATGTCAGAAGTGGTAGGAAAGGGAATATTTTGTTACAATGCTCATAACATTTATAACATTGAATAGAACATAAAATTACAGTGACTTTCTAACTTTGTTGGCATAATAAACCCTGATTAGTGAAAATACCAATTGGTTCCAACCCTAGCATTTGGCTTATGGCCTAAAAAATTGGACTTTAACATTTACCGTCATACCACATCTTAATATCTCTATGATGCAAGTTATTGTATGATCAAAGCCATGTTTTGGAAGATTATATAAAAGTGCCTTATGAAAATAGTCTCCATAGGTGAAAATAGGTGACGTTTCGTCCACTTAATATTAGTGATATGACATAAGTCTGCTTTTTTTGACAGGTATTTCTTTGAATAAGAGACAGACATTATACTGGTTATGGGCAAGACCAGGAATGTGGCATGCAACACAACCTTTAGAATTAATCAGGTATATCATTATAAATTTCTCTTTGTTAATTAATAGTCTGTGAGACAAGAGTGCTCAGGTATCATATGGAGATACTCAGTTATTTCAATATTTTTCAATATTTACAAAAAAGATTACTGTAAGTGGAAAACTTTAATTTTTGATGAAATATAACTTGAATCTAATTTTAGTATATCTAATTAGATATCACCAAACTCGTATTTCATGGATGTAAAGTGCCCAGGTTGCTATAAGATTGCGACAGTATTCCGTCACGCTCAAACAGTCGTGCTGTGCGTCGGATGTTCAACTGTTTTATGCCAACCAACTAGTATAAGGGCGAGGCTTACAGAAGGTTGCCCTTCTGAAGGAAACAACACTAGAAGTTTTTGTCAGAAATCATCATCATCATCTTTTAGTATATCTAATTTTAATAAGAGTATCGAAGCAGAAAAAAAATACTAAATTAGTGGCGCATTTAGTAATTTCCATAAGTGAAATTAGCAAGATGAATCATCCTTTGTATATTAATTCTATATAGAGGTGCAAATAAAAAAAATCTTAAAATGAAAAACCGTTTCATCTAAAAAAAATTTCATCTTTTCAGGCAATACTTTGGTGAAAAAATTGGAATGTATTTTGCATGGCTTGGTTTTTATACACTAATGTTAATTCCTGTCGCTATTATTGGAATATTAGCTTGTATTTATGGACTTGTATTGATAAAATCCGACATTATAAGGTAAGCACTGATGCTTCAATTACTTTCATTTATAACTATATAGAAAATCATAGAATGATTCTATTTTTAATAAATTGTTTTTTAAGATATTTGGCTGTTTTGCATGAAGCTTAACATGGTTCGTATTTCCTATTCTAGTAAGGAGATTTGCTCTTCCAATCGAATAATGTGTCCTCGATGCGATGATGACGGCTGTCCATTCTGGAAGTTGAGTGATTCTTGTCTCTATACAAAAATTACAAGAGTTTTTGACAATGAACTTACATTCTTCTTTGCTTTCATCATGTCTCTGTGGGGTAAGAAATAAAGATTCAGTTCTATTCCAAGCACATCTAGAATTTGATTAGAAATTTCAGTTGTGATTTTCAATTCCTCATATATTGTCAGTGAGTCATTTATAACATCATTTATAGCACAAATTTAATTTTAATAAAGAACTTATCGTAACTTGTGTCTATGGTTCAATATGATATAATGTACTATTAACCATAATTACATGTAGCAATGAATATGTTTTCACTGTGTGTGTTGTAGAGATAACTCTTGGAACGAAGCTATTGATAATAGTGATCCATTTTGATAGCACTGTTGTCAGAGTCAAAATTTGCTTTCGAGGTAATTGTCTTTGATATTGTTGCATTGAATAATGATTCAATAACATACTATTTACATTTAACAGCAACATTTTTCCTTGAATTTTGGAAGCGAAAACGAGCTAACCTTGTGTATAAATGGGATTTAGAAAACTTTGAAGAGGAGGAGGTATGTGGCCTATTTTTCAATCTAGTTTTTACTAAAAATTTTTGGTAAGCGACCCGAATAGATGATGGATAAAGAATAGTAGTTCGAGATTATATAAAATTAACAGAGGAACTAATAATAATCTTTTTCGTTCAAGATGGATTTTCACCACTGGTCCTCTAATGCTTTTACTTGATTGTAAAGTTTCCAAATCTGCAAAGCTGTTTTTTTTAATTGAATTTTGAAATTATTTCAAGCACAATATAATACTACAAGCATAATATCTGTACACATTTTTGCATACCAGTTTTTCTCAGTATTTATTCTTAATTGTGAATTGCTGTAATTAGTGTGCTTATTTCGATACACAAGATAATTTTAATTTTGCTGCTTTCTGAATTCGAATAATGCTAGGTGCATTCTATATCTATGTGAAATTATTTCAGGAACAAATTCGGCCTGAATATGAGGGAATTTGTAAAAGAAAGAAAGTCAACCCAGTAACTGGAAAAGCTGAGCCATACCTTCCTGCTTATTTACGAGCTCCTAGATTAGTTGGATCATGTTCTGCATTTTTTGTTCTGGTGAGGTTTAGAATGATAATTTTTGCTTTTTGAACTTATTAAGTAATGGATTGTTTTATGGGAAATAAAGTATAAGAATTATACTTCAGATTCATATTTTTCAGCTCACTCTTGTTCTTGGTGCGGTATTTGGTGTCGTTGTTTATCGCATCATCGTTGGTGCCATCTTGCCTCAGCAATCATCCGGAGTTGTGAAAAAAAATTCAAGTCTGATAACTTCAATCTCTGCTACATGCATCAACTTTGTTATCATTACACTTCTGAATTTTGTGAGTCAACATTTGGATTTTGTTTCATTAGTTTGCCATGGACATATATATTTGATGTGAAACTTTTTCTGATTTTAGGTTTATGAAAAAATCGCAGAATATTTGACGAATATGGGTAAGTAGGTTGTACAAATGGCATTACTTGGGGATCATAATATTTGTCAGGACGCAAGTACTCTGAGTCTATTTAGTCTTTATTAATTAGGAAACAATCGACAAATATCAAAACAAAAATAATGCTGTTTAAAGATAATAGGTGTTTATTTATATTTTGCTGGGGGATTTCTTATAAAGGATATAATATGAAATGTAAGCATAAATTATGACAAATAAGTAAAGAATCATTATGCATAAGAGTAATGCTTGTTCAAGTAATACTTATCGCAATTGTTTTATTTTTCAAAATGAAAAACTGAAATAATATACAAAATATCAATGTAATGCGATATTTAAAAAGGAAAATCATTAAGAGTAATAGGTTTGTGACTGATGTACAACTGTTATTTAGTTGCAAATGAAATTGACAATAACAATCAGCTACTACAAAAGAAATTGATTTGGTAATCATGAAATTTTGAATGTTTAATGCTGTAACATATGAGCAAAATAAGTCTCATTGTCTCATTAAATATTTGGACATATTCTGTCTAACTTATCATTTGCTCTTCTTCTTCACTTTCTTCATCATCATCTGAAAATGTAAGTTCTTCTTCCTCTTCATCTTCTTCTGCATTTTCTCCTACACGTAAATATCTACATTGCTTCATGTTTTCCCATTCTTCTTCTGTAAGTGCCATGTCTTCCAGAGACATTGGTATGCTGTAGTCTCGAACTTGTAGTTGTTTGGGTATATTGTCGAAAACTGGAGGCATTGTGAACACTTGTGGAACACCCTTAAAAACATTTTGTATTTAACTTTGTACTCAGGATATTGTTTATTGAAATGCAACTCCTTGTTTACTTCCCACTCGATATTTATAGACGAAACATAAGTACAAATGAAGATATTATTCTCAATAAAAACGAATTGAACATTTAATAAAAGATATATAAGAACCAATATAAAAAGAAATGAACAGTGTTTATAGCTGGGCAAGTCAAAGTAATGTAAGTAAAAGGTACCTAATAGAATTAATGTTGGACGCTTGGCAAGTGGCACATGAATACAGTTCCTCGTTAACAAAATAAATCAAGCCAGTTTTGAGCTTTTGTTTGTTTCACAGTAAACCAACCGACATAGAAATGTAAATTCTGTTCAGTTCCACCATACTGGGCTTTTGCAGATTTATTCTGATATCGAATATAACTATTTAAAAAAAACAGATTAACAGTTTGTCTCTATAGCTCAAAAGTTTTCAATAAACTCACCCCTGCTGAAGATTCTCTCAATTCTTCTGCAGATATAGATAAATGTTCCTAAAAGAAGTAATAATATTGTTATTTTGATAAATATTGATCACCACATTGAACAATTTTTTTTCGTTCAGTATTTGCATTTAGTTTGATTTTTGTAGATATTGGATTAATGTTTCGTTCTTTGATAATATTCTGCAATAATGGTTCTATTACAAAGTTATAATTTTGACGTATTGATCTTCGAATGCTTACCCCATGATCTTCATCACTTGTTCCAACACTCACTTCTTCCAGATGTTCTGAAATGGTTTTAAAAATTTTGTTATTTATTAATGTACTCACAACTTATTTGCAATTATAAAATTCATTTTAAATCTACTACTCTCAGCAATATTATGAACCAAACTTATTTAAAAGTGTTAATCGAATAAATATCATCTATATTTTGTACCAAAGCAAAAATAGTATGGTTTGTCATCAAATTTCACATATACAACCCATAAAATTGCATTAAATGTGTATTTATGAAATATATGGCACTAACTGCCTTATAATATAATGCATTGTACCAGGCCTCAAAACAAGCGAGACATGGAATTTCAATCTATATTTCAGGGGTTTGCAATTTAGAATCTTTTAGTGGATAATTTCAATATGTCACAGAATGCTAGTCGGTAACGGCTACATCCACGTTCTGTGTCTAGATATTTAGAACCACCAATTGGTTGGATGTACCATTGCTAGATTTGTACTGGCAGACGAGAACGATTGTCTACAATAAAATGCTGTTCATAGCTCAGGTCAAAGGCTCTGTGTTATCACTATAATAATACATACCTAAATCTTCGAAGACCCTTCTATCTCTCCCTTTGTATATATTTTCCATTGCTGCTGATAGATCTTTGCTCCCTCTTGGTTCAGTGGGAGGAGATAAGAAACCTGGACTTTTGTTTGTATTGCCGTATTTAATATAGCGATGTTTTCTTTGTTTGGATTCACTTTCTTTTGTTTTTGAATTGCTGATAGTTTTTGATGGGCCATTTTCCTTTAATATTTTTGCTTTAGTACTGGGTATCTTTTTAGTTTCTGTCGTCTCATTAGACACTTTAGGTTTTAAAAGAGTCTCTCCAATACTTTTGCGAATATCTGAAATGGGTGGAGGGCCACTGTCGTCTTCATTTGCAAATTGCCTATTTGCCTTTATACTGGATAAATCTTCATTTTGCTTTGCAGTCAATGCTGATTTTTTGTTCTCTTTTTTTGAAATTGTTGTTGTTTGCACTTGCTCAACATTCTTAATGTTCGGATTTGCGATCATATTGTTGGACTCCTCAGTTGCTGGAGAAATTACAATTGTTGCTGGAGGTTTTACTTGGATTGAGAGCTTGTTTGAACCTTCATTGTTTAATGGGGGTAATTTTCTGGGAATGTTTGGACTCAAATATCTTCTTTCTAAACTGGGACTTGCCAGCATTTGTGGAGAGCCAGTTGGACTTCCCTGAACAAAATAATAATAAAGTTAAAATCAACTGAAAATTACCGAATCCTGTGCTAACAATGAAAATAGTTTTTTTATGTACGGTATTTAGTGTTGATTTTAAATATTGAAATTTATTACACCTTCTGTTTGACAATATCATCAGATTTTTTCAGTAAGTAACTTCCCGGTTTTCCAGTTGTATTGCTGAGGAAATGTGTTCGAATGATTCGATCACTGACAGTCATTGGAGAGCCTATTGGTGATTCATTCGGTGATAAATTCTTCAGACTGAAGAAATGTTATATCATTGTTTAAATAATGATGTTTATATTAACAAAAACGACTTTCAAAAATCTTCTTTTCACTCAATATATAAAAGAATTGACATCATTATGAAGTATGAATAAAAAGTATCTTGGCAAGTTGGTTGTACAACATTTTTTTTAAGTTAATTGACAAGCTCATAGATACTAACATTGAGTGCAAACACTACTGTGAAAACTATAATATGGCTTTTATGACTACTTGTATCACGGATAATATAAATAGAAAATTAATTAAAAAAAAATGTTGTATTTACCTTGGTGAAATACTTCTACTTCTTGTTCCATCACTTTTTGAAAGATGGGTCAAACTTCTTGATCTGCTCTCTTCTGAGATTTGTGCATTTTTACGAGGTAGCATTGGTGAGAGAAGATTGCTTTTTTTTCCTATATTGGATGACAAAATTTTTCATTCAAATATCCATACCAGGATCTCACCATTTTTTGAAAGTAGTTTCGGCAGAAAATATTTGCTTGAAATAGTGTAGCCTACTTGTTTTTGCTAAAATATAAATGTTCTCTTTCTTTAATTTTATTTATTTGTTTTCTTAATCAGTTTTCTTTTAAATACATTATTCTAATGTAACCACTATTGATCAAATTGATACAGTGAAATACTAACCTTCCAGTTTGTCATTTGCTGTTGCTCTTCTTAGCATGGGAGAATTCGGAGCTGAGCGACTTGAGTTACTCACAGTTGTCAAAACTTTCAGTCTCTGCATGTTCTCTTGATGTATTTCATATGGATCCAAATGATGAGGATTTTCGGTGACCTCCATTTTGCTCTTTCGCAAGAATGTCTCGTCTCTTATGTTTGAGTAATATTTATTAAAATTAAGACCTTACTTTTATTGTGTTGATAAACAGTTGTTCATTTGACAAAAGTTATAACTGAATAATATTCTACCAAAATTTGAAACTTTAGTAGTCAATTCACATCGGCAATATTAAGTGCCTGAATGATTAAAATAGTGACATATAAGTAAGACATATATTGTGAATTTAGACCAGTCGGTTCACAAAAACGAGACTTGGAAATTGTTGGCAAACTACGTATTTGATGTTGCTTTGATTTATTCCACTGAGAGAAGTGGTCATACTAAATATTGTAATACATTTTTGGCAAACCTAAGAAGGAAATATATCCAAAACAGATTTTTAAAAATAATAAATTGTATATTATCTCATGTAACTCATAATAACATCTTGTCTACAAAAACCACCTTGCACGCTCTCTATACTAATGCTAGAATGAGTTCCAGTAGTTCTTCATTCCTACATATGTTTTTCATTTGGGAAACAAGATATCTTTGTAATTGTTTGACTTCTTTATATAGAATTTATTTACATCATCGCCCATTGTTCTACAAATGTATCATTGTCAGTCTCTCTCATTCTAAAATTTGTTTTGCGTCAATCATTATGTTATCAGAAAACTTGTTTTCGAGTGTTTGATTGTGTCAAATGTTACTAGAGTTCATTTAATAAATCATAGCTTAAATGAAATTATGAGAATCTAGCAGCACTCATGTCGTTTGATATTGTCAATTTTTCTTTAGATCAACCCCATTATAAATGTTTGGATCATTTCATATTGCAACAAGCAAATAATAATTTCAAATATAAATGTTATTATCAATTAAACAGTTTAATATCGTTTTGAATAGTAATTTTCTTCAATAAATTTTATTTTTGAATTTACCAATTGAGTTGGAATTTATGTCATATTCCACTTAAATCACCTTTAAGTACAACTATTCTCCGGAATATTCTAAGCACGACCCACTCTCGGATAACTATACTTCATCAATCATTTCGTTCAATCTGATGATTGATAGGTATATTGGTTTCTGGAAAGTGTATTCAACTTTGTCTTGATGACAACAATCCATTGTTTTCTGTATGTTTTCACTAGTGTCATGTTACAATGTACGTCTGTCTATCTTTTCAAATAGAATCACCTTCATATTGTCAAAGGTTTTCACTACATAAACATTATGTATTGTGTAGTGGGTTTAGTTTTAGTAGACTTACGCATGGAAATAAATTCTCACTTTTTCACTCATTTGTACTAAATGTATCTTTGGTGCATCTTTTGAGCATATTAGTCAAGTTTTCAATAGCAAAATTGATAATGATTCCATCTAAGTTTTCAATATTTCTAAATAGGCCTTACATTTGAAAAATTAATTTTTCTGCTAATAGAAAATCAACATGTTTCAGACTATCATATCAAAATAAAATAGAGACTAAAGTATTACTATTCGAGTGAAATCGAAGATGGTATTCTAATAAGAGCATTCTCCTACTCTCTTTTCCACTCATATTTTCTCTCTTTATAAATCTATACTCTTACGACAACCAGTTACCTATATTTTTGCTATGAAATATTCTCCATGCCAATTTGAACTTAATTCATGTGGCCTGGGATTAAGTTTCTCAATGAAGTCACTTGCTTTTGCCTTAGTCCCATGTGATCAAAATCAATATGATTTTTTTCAATAGAATAACTAAATGACAACTGTTTATGAATCCTTTCTCATAGTCGAGTGGAATTTTAAAATCTCTATTGTTAACATTTGCATTGGGAAAAGTATATAATATTTGTACATGATAAATATGACATTGACTTCCTTTACCTTATCTTGCAATATTCTTTATTAATAATTCTCAATTATTTTGCTTGAGAATGACATCGGAACACAGTTCACTTTGAACAACTGTGTTTTTATTAGCTAAAAAATCAAATAATGCTGTATTTATGTTATTAAACAAGCTTGTTGGCTTCACAATTTAGCTATTATTATGATTGGTGAATATACTGGCATCAACATAAATATATCAGGAATTTTATACAGTTCACAACAGAATCATAATACAGAAACAAACATCAGAATAAATTTCACTCTTTTATTTTTTATTTTTTCAACTACATTTTTTTTTTCAGAGGCTCCAAGAACAGCTACAGATTTTGAAGATTCTTTCACTCTGAAGATGTTTCTTTTTCAAGCAGTCAACTATTATTCATCAATTGTTTATATTGCATTTTTCAAAGGTAAATTCAATGGAACTCCATATGACTACCGGAGACTACTTGGTTATAGATCAGAAGAGGTAAGTTTAAATTTTGAAGAAGATTGTAGAAATGATGTTTTTATCAAATGAATAACAACAATTTAAGATATAAATATCCATAATAAGGATTTGTGGTTTTCCGCTTCTAATATGGTATAGTCTATCAAATTTATTAAATCCTGGGAAAAGCCATGGTTGTGGAGTTTGTACTCTTGCCATAAAAAACCTCTTAATTGCTCGTTTTTGACTAAATGAATAACAGTTTCAGCAGATTGATGAAAACTTTTGAAAACAAACTTTTTTGTTTTTTACCAGTGTGATCCTAGTGGTTGTTTGATTGAACTCTGCATTCAGCTTGGTATCATCATGGTATTGAAACAAGCCTTCAACAATACAAAAGAAATTATCTTGCCGTAAGTACTAAAATATCATGTTGCTATTCAATATCTATCCTGTTGTTTTGCCCAAGTTTTTTGTTGTTGAACTTCGTTGTTGCATAAATGAGGATAAATATAAATTTATTTTGACTCCATAATCAGCATAACAGATAATAAATTAAAAAAATTATGAAAACAAAGAAATAAAAACTGATTATAGAATCAGGAGAGCAAACAAAACCTCACATAAATGCATCTGCATAGTCAATTGGGGATAGTACACTGCATATTATTTCACATGACACTATAAAACATGTTTGAGGAGATCTGGTGAAAAAATGTGTTACTAGATGCGTGAATACTTTAGATTAGTGGTTCTTAAAGTACATGATCTATGACACTCCTTCCAATAACTCTCAATGCTTGAGGTACCCTGCTCTTCTATAAAATACCTAGTCTCCATCAGTTTTTTTATGCACCATGTACGTTTAATCAATAAAAAGCCAACAAACAAAAGTAATAGTGCATTAGGGTCAAAGAATTAACCAAATCAATGTCAATTAAATTTAAATGAATGTGGTGGTCTCGAATGACAAATATTGATGGCCTTCTCTGGTGGCCCCCAGGGGAACACTTCTTTGCGGTCTGAAGGCCCAGTTCCAGAAACCCTTCTCTTGATATCATTGAACTTAATTCAATTATCACTGACATGAACTGATTATAAATAAATTTCTCAGTGTTTATCTTCTAATTTTATTATGTCTCTGTGATCATGTATGCATGTGTGCTTCAATTAATTTAATACTTTTGAGTGAGCAAACACTTACCACTTCTTTTGACAACACCTTTCAATCTAAAATCTGTATGTTTTAAACTTTTCTCAAGGTTTTATTTGGTATCCCGATTCTGCAATCAGTTTTATTTATTTTGTTTTCATCACTTATTTTATCGTCTATTATGCTGGTAATGGAGAGGAAAATAATCTTATACTGTTTGAAAGTGGAAAATATTAGATTCTTAGGTATACGATACAGTTTATTGATTTGTTATGTGTAATTGTCAATTGCTTGTCATTGTAATACTTTCATATTAATTGATCTATTTATCATAGGATAGGATAGGATTTACATATTTATCCCGGGGGAGAGGAAAGCCGATAAGACGGCTTATTCATATGGCGAACCACGGCCTCTCGTCCGGTTACCATTCTAAGTCGGATATGGGATTAGTTATATTGTTTGTTTTCGGAAGCATGGACTTGGTGGTGGAGGAAGCCGTAACCGACCAGCGGTTACGTGAACCACCCAACGACGGCGAGGAGTCCAGCAATCCTCTCGCACATAACCATTCCTGCATGGGATTCGAACCTGCGAACCCACGCAGAGTAATTAGAGGCGCGGTGGCGAGCGTATTCCTAACGTTCAGCTCGTTGAGCCACACCGCCGCGCCATCATTTTAAGTTTATGTAGTGAATTTACATTCCAGTTCATTTATCGAATTTACAAACTTCGTATTTGCATTTTGCATAAAATTAAATTGTCTGAAATATTTGTAAAGTAGATATTGAAGTTTTGATTTCATGATTGATGACATTTTATTTTCAGACTTGTGAAGAACTGGTGGGCAAAACGTTCTTTCTTCAAGAAGGGTATGCTTTATAAATTAATTTGTTAGCTCCTATAGTTCTTAATATTATATTTGTGCCTTTATTTTTAATATCCATAAATGAAAAGTAACAAGCATATCACTGAATTGTTAAATAAGAAATCATATATTTATCATATATATATTACAGAAGAAAAAGATAAAGTGGACTTATATAAAGATCTTCATGAATCTGCATTATACAGAGATTTTCTACTAGAAGATCCAGGCCGAAGATATTTGTTTTCTGAGTATTTAGAAATGGGTATGTTCAAATTCAATGTGCAAGTAAATTATTACCGTTACTAATTAGAGCTCGACCGATATCACTTTTTGACGCCGATATCGATATCGATATATTGGCCAGCTATGCCGATATTAATATAAATCATATTTTGAGCCACAAAATGGGCTTTTATGATGTACCTCATGAGTCTGTAGTTTCATTTTTATATTTATTATCATTGCAGTAAAATATAACCAACTCCAGTTAATGCTTGAACAAATGTTATTCTGTAACTTTTCCTGCTACTTCAATATCAAGAATTGTTAATCTGACGTTTTTAAATATAACTATGTGCATATGTTAAGGGTATTGGAAAATATAAATTGATATATTTGAAAGTGAATCGTGATAATGATAAATTCCCTTATTTATTTAATAATAATGGATTTTTTTTTTTTTTTGTAATTCTCAGCAAAATGATAAACAACCACCAATATAGATAAAACTGTTAGGTCATAAATGCGGAACTGACATTATTGCTTTGAGCTACTTGTACCCTGTTTCTGTGATTACTAACTCACCAGCTTCATATCGATTATATTTATAAAACCACCGATTATTGTTGATATTGAATTTGCCTTTTTCTTATTGTGCACTCTCTCAAAAACGTCACTTTATAAAACGTCACTGTTACTCCAGATAATAACTTTTCAGTTATGATCATGCATGAAAAGGCTAATTATGAGACGCCGGGAAATAGGAGAGACACCTTTTTAACGCAAAATGAAAGCGAGAGAAATTTTGGGAAATCAGTTACGCAGGGATGAGAGCCGTTGCAGCACGCAGCACGGTGCTTGCCGAGTACGGCCGAGATATATCGTCGGTTCACGGCCGATATGATATATCGGCTAACACGCAATATCGGCCCGATATATTGGTCGAGCTCTAGTACTATAATGCATTTTTTACAAAGAAAGTACTAATAATTTTTTCCTTTTTCCTTTTTCAATTTGATTTTCATTAGGATTGTTTTAAACTTTATTCTTATCGTTACAGTTAAATTTGTTGGAATCCAGATTTTGAAGCCTTAACACCGTACTAAATTGCATTCTGAGTATTCATAATTTTAAATATTATTCTAACTGAGTCTCCACATATATTTTCGAACTGTTTTCAGTCATTCAATTTGGATTTGTGACTTTATTTGTTGCATCTTTTCCTCTGGCTCCGTTATTCGCTCTTCTCAACAATGTTATCGAAATAAGATTGGATGCTTATAAGTTTACCACACAAATCCGGAGACTTCCTGCCAGAAGATGTGAAAATATTGGTGAGTTCACAATACTTTATCAAACAATTCAATTTGATGATGACAGATTTTCAGTGTTTTAAGCATATTTTAATTCCTTCGTACTGAACAAGTCTTGGTATAAGCAGCAGCTCATAGTTACCCATGGAGGTTTGGAATGTCCTTTTTTTTACATAGATTGCCCAATTTGTTACACCTCGAAAAATTGATTCTCTAGAATTGAGTGACAGCGTATTGCATTCTGATCTAACCATTTCAGGAATTTAGATATCAAGTAAAAAGTGTATCACCATATATCAAAAACTCAGTAGGCTATTTGAAATAAATCAAATCTTGAGTGTTAGTATCTACTCAATTAAGTGGTAGTTTATATAGAGCTTTGTTGAAAAAATGGTTTGCGAACAGCCTATGAATAATTTAAAATTTCTTCAGCTGTTGGATCTATTGAACATTTCATTTTTCTATACTTAACAATCTTACAGTAATATTTTTATTATCTTATACAATTTGTTTTAGGTATGTGGTTTCCAATTTTAAAAGGGCTCAGTACACTTGCTGTTATAACAAATGGTTTAGTAGTAGCTCTGACATCAGAATTTGTTCCACGCCTGGTTTATAGATTTTTATACAGTCCTTGCATTGGAGTGGAAGACATTTCAAATATGTAGTAAGTAAATATATTTGTTTATTTCCATTTTCCACCGAACAAAACATATCTAGTTATAGATGAGGATGTTATGCATTGCTCAAGAAAAGAAGAAGATTGATGCTTTCAAGAATAGGATTTGCATATTTATGCTGGGGGAAAGAAAAGCCGACAATTGGTTTAATCATGGGCTTGATCATATGGCGAGCCAAGGCCTCTCCTCCCCATTCCATGTCGGGTATAGAACTAGTTATCTAATTATTTCTGTCAAATGCATGGCCTTGGTGGTGGAGGAAGTCGTAACCGAACACTGGTTTACGTGAACCACCCTAAAGCGTGAGTAGTCCAGCAATCTTCTTGCACATATTTATTCCCCACAAGATTCAAACCTGCAAACCCACACTGGGTGATTAGAGGTGCGCTGGTGAGCATAATTCTAATGCTCAGCACAATGCTTCACATTGCCAGCTGTCCGCAATGTGTACGAGATTAGTTAGTGATCTGAAATTGTGTCAATGGATAAGCTCAATTGGTTTAGGAAGTCAAAGTCAGTCGTATGACTACTTCCACAAGCTTCAAACCAGTGTCTTATGCACATGGTTATCAGCATTGTGATAGCAGCACAAGTATTTCGATTGATTCTTCTCAATCCATAAAAAATATCTTTGATATGTCCTAAGGCACATTAAGGCCCCTAGCAAAATGTAGTCGATGAATGATTGGTAAATGCTTATTGGAACCAAATTATCATAACAATGCTTAACACTCTATCAATTTTTTTCAGTTGCATGACTGGTTATGTGAATGCAACATTGATGGATATAGCAGTTTCAGAAATAGATCGTGGTAATCATCCACCTTATAACACTTCACTTCCAGGAATTCCTGACAAGTGTTGGTAAGATTATTGTTATATTTTATGTGCTGACTCACCAAAACATATGGTAGACAGTGATTGTTAACTTTATAACATCAAAGGAATCCATGCTTATTTTAATTTATTATCATCGTGTTGTTACCATCATGTTTTTTACTGATCGTGTATTGTCAAAAGAATGGGAAATGTCTTGTTTTTTACTTTCATTCTATGCCACAGCTTCTTTTTCTCAACTTTTATGTCAGATGTTTTGAACCACATTTGAAATTCTTTTAGTTTTCCTGAATTTTTCTTTCTGATTGTCTTGGGTTTTTTAATTTATTTTGTACCTTTATAGAGATCAGGGAAATGATATTATCTTTGCATCTCTCTTTTTATTTCAGGTTCAGGGCATCAGATCCATCTCTACCAACACAACCAATAGTTTCATTCTGGCATGTATTTGCAGGAAAAATCACTCTTCTAGTGGTGTTTGAGGTGATATATTGTAGTGCTTTTTCATTCAATTTTGTTCATTGATCTGCCCTACTTTTCGCCCTACAAAATGAGTTGAAAGATGTGGAATTTCATTATCACCCGTTTTCAGAATTTTATGGAACACATGTTTGAAATCAGCATCGACTATATTTTGAAAATCACCTTCACCAAAATATTTTTGTTGTCTCGAAATTAACAAACTTTGGAACCGGGAATTCAACTTTAGTTCTTTAATCAGATTTGAAGAGTTTTAAACCTGCATTCATACTTGGTTCGCAACTCTATGTGTAAAGTCACACTAGTTCCAATTAGAAATTGTTAACAGTTTCCTTTCACCCATGCAGCATGCTGTTTTTGGTCTCAAGCTTCTGATTGATTTGATCATACCAGATGTACCAAGAGATCTCAGTCAACAAATGGAGAGACAGAAATATTTAGAACTCAAGTTGTTGTATGATAGAGGTATTTATCCACTAAACTGCAAATACAAGTTATATTACATGGTCCTAACTGTCTTGTGTGGCATTTAAAATAGCTAATTTGCAAAGTGAATTAAGAGATATAGCTATTCTCAGTATTCTAACATTGTTTATTATATTTTGTATAATTTGTGTTTTTTCATATTTATTGCGAGGAAGAAATCAACATATGCCTAATTGTATGGTGAACTACAAGCCTCTAGCCTTGTTACCAGTCCAGATCAGATTAGGGTTCAGGTTCACCAATAAATCAATAGAGATTTATGGGCATTGATGACAGAAGAACACGTAACTGAACACGTTGATTTAAACTATCTCATGAGGACGAGAAATCCTCATTTATATTTCCTAACATTTAGAACAATGCACCAATCCTTAAATTCTCATCAGCTTTAACATTTTACTTGAATTCCATCCAAACTCAAATAAATTTCCATGTGCAATGTTATAAACTCCATATTTTACAAACTATTAAAAAAAGACTATATATTTGTATGATATAGATGAAGAAAAATTGGGATCCTCTGGTGGCTCAGTTAAAGAAAAACATCCGAGAAAAGAGTCTCCTCCAGACGATAATCAGCCTTCGGCATCTACAATGGAAATGGAGGAAGTTTGACGTGGAATTCAAAAATAACCATGTTGCATCAAAGTATCACAAGTATACCATTTGTAGGGATCATATCATTTGGCGAAAAATTTTGTTTATTGATATATTGGAACATGTATTTTTACATTACATACTATGGATGATGATGGATATCAACTCAGGACTAAATTCTTCAAGGCACAATTTTTTGAGAGATTATCAATGTTTAAGTTTTTCTTCAATTCTACAGTTTTTTCAATGTTATTCTACGGGTTTGTTTTGTATGGCACACGGGATAAAAAAAATTAACAAATTCTGTTTTTTTTTTTAATTTGTTCAAAGTGTCAGTCTTTTGTATTATTCAAAATGTATTCATTTGTGTGCATATCTTAATTCTACCTTTCGCTATAACATAAGCTGAAGTGAGAATCTTTCATGACAACAAATTATGAGATTATTTATCTTTCTGAGCCAACTGGTTCTGGTTCTTGTTCGACATATATCAAGTATATTCATACATCCAATGAATCGATTCAGCTCATAGCCGGGATGTGTGACATTCTTGCAGCAAGCGCTTGCATACCAGATAGGGTAGATTTTAATAAAAGACATACATTCACCTTTGGATATTTCGACTCAAAAGAATCTCTCCTCATCTTATGATTCTTTATGTGCCATGAATACCGAGATCAGAGTATTTTATGCACATGCTTTATTACCTTAGCAGTTCTTTGTGTCAGTTTGAAACAAATTTTGTTAGTTAAATGTTTTATTTATATTTTTGTGTGTTATTTTTATAAAGCATGGTATTCTAGGATAGAATATTCTTATTCATCCTGGGGAAGCTGATAAGATGGCTTGTTCATATTAGAATGAAAAAAATTCTCTTACTAGTCCATATCTGGGTATATTCTCACATATGGAAATGGGTTAACCTTCTTCAGATACCAAGTTCATTTTAGTACCTTTACCAGCCTTGGAAAACCCCTATTCTTCACCTCATATGGTTTCTTTTTTATTTCTCAAATTTACCATGAAAACTCATGTTGTTTTAGATAAAACTGTGAATTAGGCTACTTTAATCTGATTAGCCAAAGTCATTTTAACAAGGCCAGACACTTCATCAAACTAATTTGTGTCTTGCTGTTAATCCTACCTTGAGAATACATATTTAAAATATTTACTTCAATGTTGCTTACCTACTTGTACATAATTTTTATATTTTGTTTATATTAAGTGCCAGGTCCATTCATGTGATATTAATGTCTGATCAATGTTGATTTAATGCGATGATTCTCATATAGAATATTTGTTGTTGATCCAAACTTTCCATAACACCATGGTCATAGTGTATATCTTTGAACAATTTTACTGATAAAATCATAATACTGTCAGAGACAAACATTATTTGTAGATGGCATCATTGTGTATATGCTCGAAGGGGTGAACATCATTTGAAAATAATGAAACTGTGAACTACAGCATGAGAGAGACAATAAACCACCACCCTCAACACGCAAGAGCCTTCTGACAGTAAATGAGAAAGGCCTTCTGAATCTGATTAATTATTCCAAAAGTTTATAGCTTCACTCATTGTCGGTTCACTCATCAAAATTTCAGGATGGTCGAGAATGGTCTTGACATCTTGAACATTGAGTTTTGTGTTTATCAAATAGTTTGTTTTATTCTCACAGCCTGAACAAATGTAAATGTTTTTATATTCGTAAATGTATTTTTGGTTGATTGGATGTGTTCGTACTTATTTGTTAACAGAAATTATTGGCACTTTTAGTATCCGATGTGGTATAACCATATACTAGTACTGAATTTGAAAGGTACATACTTATTTGCTGTGCAGACGATTTGTGCAATTGCATGTTTTTACTTTGTTTTCTTGTTCCATTTCTATGTTGTAAAAGATGAAAAAGAACAAATTGAGATAGGTTACTGTGGTGTAGTTGTTTGAGATCACGATATATTTTCATGCATGCGGAATGAATAGTCAATAAGTGTGTAAGAACAGGTATATTTGAATATTAAACTCAGTGTCAACGACGTACAGGTCAAATATTGCTGATAATTGTTATGTAGACATGTTCAAATAAATGTTGAACTGACATATTTTCAAAATTCAACCAATCTTGGTAGTAATAGATATAGAGTAAGGCTGGGATGTGAAGCAATGCAAGTTCATGTTTTCAATAAAATTATCAAGCAGGGGAATGAATTGACAAAAAAAATCAAATTATACAGCTCAACCATTATATATCAATGATGCTGCTTCTCAGGGGACTAACAATTTACAGTACTGCCGTAGTGTGTGTACCAGGTTAGGGTTAGGCCATAATTTTATCCCGATTTTCCTTATTTTAGTCCTATTACGAGTTCGGGACTGTCTGCGTTAGCCAAGTCCATTTACACAACTTGATGTAAAGTAGGCGAACAAAATCAGTTATCTCTATATTGGTACACACACTTCTGGAGTGCCCAATTTACTTTGGATTGAAAACCTCCTGATACAGAAACCAAACCTCATTGTTGATATTCAATTCTGTTCAGGTCAATTCAAAGAAGTTAGCCACAAAGAGATAGGTATGGATTAAACTGACAAAACAAAATACATCCACAGTCCCTAATAATGATGCACATTGCTCTATATATTAAATCGGACCAGCTGCCATTTTCAAGTTGATACAGACTTGCCATTTTAAAGTCAATTAGGAACTGCTTATAAAGTGAATATAATGAATCATTAAATCAAGCGAGAGCAACTTTAACTATGCACAAAAGCATACTGTGATGTCAAAATGAGAGATTTTTAATTTAGAAAAATAAATAAAAACATTAAAATTTGAAAAACAAAATCACAACAGATATATAAACTAATGCATCATTGATGACTTTTATTAAAATTATCTGAGACGTTCGGGTCGTTTTTATATTGATAGGAAACATCCATTCCAAAAGCCAACAAATGAGTAGTGAAACATATCCTACTACAACAAAACATCTTCCTACGACAGGACCACATTTTTTAAACAGTAATAATCGTTCATGATGAGGAAGTAAGGGTTGTTCTGCCATTGAATCATAAACCTTTTCTGTTCTTTCAGCAACTTTGGGCCATGTATATAAAACCGATGTTCGATATACATTTCATAAGGATCCATTTCAGTTCCTTCTCGATGTTTTAAAATTGCGACTTTCTAACCATCTATAAGATGAGATACTGATGGTTCTCTCAAAATTATCATATCATGAGGAAGTACTTCTGGTACTCCTCCAACTTTCGTGCTCACAACCTGCAATCCACAACATGCAGCTTCTATTATTGCTATACAAAATGCTTCAGTTAAGGATGTGTTTAGAAAAATATGCCCTGTTGTCAGCACATCTCTCACATCTGTATGAGGAACAGCACCTAAAAACTTTAATCTTTCATGCAGCTGGAATTTTTCTCTCGTTTCCTCAAGAAGAAGACGCTTGGACCATCGCCACCAATTACAAAATCAATATCTTTGTGCCGAGAACATAATATTGGTATTAATGAAGCAAGGAGGTCCATTCCTTTTCTATACACGAGTCGACTTATGACCACAATCCTTATCCTGTCTTTGACTTGATTCTCAGTTGCTGGAGTAAATTTTGTTGCGTCAACAGCATTTGGAATAACATATACTTTTTTTGGTTCAATGTCAGCACGTAACACAGTATTTTCTTTGCTTGTGTGAGAGACGCATATTACATGATTTGTGTATGTCAGTGTTATTTCTAAAAGTTTATTTGTGATAATGGAGGATCCATCAGCAAAAACCGAAGAGGGAATGATCTGTGAACACAGTCCTAATTCTCAATGTCTGTGCATGGTGAATAGCTTCGATAGCTAATGCAGAAAAGCAGAGTGTCCATGTAAAATGGTTATTCTCTCGTGTAACAAAACACTTCGAATCAAGGGAATAGTTGCAAAATATGTAGGTAAAATACATTGGTTATACATGACCACAAATGGAAGATAATAAACTTTAAGATAATTTGTGAAGTAACGTATTCCCTTTCTATGCCATAAGAATGAGTGATAATAATTACTTTATGTCCTTTGCAATAAGGCATTGCGACAGTTGATATATATGACTTTCCACTCCTCCCACATAGGATAGAAAAAATCACAAACCATTGCAATAGAGTGTTTCATGTTTGTATTCAAGCTTCATCAAACTTCAACAACTACCGTAAATCCCAGTTCTACCGCATACGTTTGTATTCAACGTCAACGATTCTAGATGAGAAACGCAAGTGGCAGTGCCTTTTTTTTTTTTTTTTTTTTTTATTATTATTAGATTTTCATAAAATAAAAATAATATTGAATTAATCAATATTAGAGATAAATAATACATTCATAAAAGTAATATTTCACACTGTTTGAAATTGTAATCTAATAGTATGGTATGAGTAACAGAAGATTGGAGAAATTTCACATTTTATCTATATACTATACAATCAATTACTAAATAAAATTATATTGAAATAAACAATATCAGTAATACAGTCATGAAAAGTATCACAATGTTTGCATTCGCAATCTAATTATGTTATTAGAAAACTGAGAAAATCTGACATTATATGTATATACCATACAGGGGCAATCATTTAGCAAAAAAAATCTCACATTTTAGGTATATACCATATTTACGCCATTAATAACAAGACACGCCACCACGCGATGTCATGTGTCATCGCGTTTGACCTTTAGCATCAGGTTTGCTGTCCGGCCGTGAAAAGCTTCTCACATTACAATTTATCGCTGTACCTACCTGAATTCGTCTGAGGCGCCCTTTTTTATTTAACCAATGTTGCCTGTATAATACGGCAGCAGTAGTAGCACGGTGAAATTTAATCATCGCCATGCATAACATTGTTAATCATAGGTCAAGGTCGTCACAGCAGGTATATTGCACTAATATTACTAACATAATAGGCTTAATACCAGAATAACACAACTTGATTGATGTTATACCGGTATACTCTATTATAGATGTGGGCTATAGCCGATAATGTAAATTGTTGATTAAATCAGTAAATTTGACCACTCTATAATAAATATTAAATTATTAAGAAGAACCAAGCTTTCTGTTGGCTAACAGGATAATGTCAATTATCTATTATTAAGTATTAAGGCTATCAACAACGCGAATACAAAAGATCGGTAGGCATCATCATAAAATAATTGATAACGTCAGAGTTATATGTTAATGAATATTTTAAAACTACTTCAAAGGCTTATTATAAATTGCAAGGGATTTTGAATCATCACTGCACTGGGAATGGACCTTATTGTTATTTGACCTACTGTTACTGACCCAAAATTTTTTAAGCTATTATGATTAGTTTTACTTCACGTGAAATTAACCTTCTTGATTGTTATCTACAAATATATGTTGTCATATACTGAACAATTATTTTATTTGACAGGTATGTAAACAATTTCCTTTTTTATCGGCCACCAAAATTTTATTGTTTGGGCCTAAATCACCTTGGAAAATTTGTCAAAATCTGTCTGGCTGTGCAATGCACCGTTATCTGTATTATTTTACATTAATTTGAATAAATAAGTGAAATATATTTTAGCATAAAAATTTTAATTTATCAACTCAGTTAAAATTAGTTAAGAACAAGCCGTTTATAGGAATCATGCTAATATATTGTGACCCTATGCGTTATTATAACATCTGAAACAACTGGATAAAACATGTCTCATTTACGTCATGGCACTAAAGAATTACAAAGAATTTATTCACTGACTTTAAACAATAAAAGAAAAGTTCAGTTCTTGTATGGAATTCCTAAACAATGTCACCAATATTCAACACATTCTGCATCGGGATGGTTTTCGATACATTCATTCAGTTACAGCAGGAGAAGACCTGATTGCACTTCTTATATATTTTCATCATCTAACCACAGATGCAAAGTTGACTCTATATCTTCTTCCTATCCCATCCTTTTGAGGCACCATTCTAATATTGGTCTACACCACACAATCTCAAGAAATATCCATGCTGCAAGTGTTAATTTTGACAAATCAAAAGTAGAAGATACATTGAAGGCTAAATTGAAAAAGACTGAAGCGGACAAAAATCTTTCTTCTGATAAAAAACCTACAGCGACAGAAACCACATCTAGCTCAGTAGCCACTCCCCAAAGAAACCGTTATGGGATAGATTTGTAGCGGAGTTGAAACATTATTATCATGGTTTTCGACTTCTTGGATTGGACATTAGAATTGCATGGAAAACACTGTGGAAAATACTGAACGGAAAACCAGTAGTTCGGCGAGAACGAAATCAATTCAAAAGAGCGGTATCAGATATATTTCGGCTTGCTCCTTTTAGTGTTTTCATAATTATTCCGTTTGCTGAATTTGCATTGCCAGTGGTGGTGAGTCTCTTCCCAAGACTTCTTCCTTCTACTTTTGAGGATAAAACAGCTCGTGAAGCTCGATTGAGAAAAGAACTGTCTGTTAAATTGCAAATGGCTAAGTTCATGCAAGATACGGTAGAAGATATTGCTATGCGGAGCAAAAAAATGTCAAAAGAAAATCAGGCCACAGAAGATTTTGCCACTTTTTTTCAAAAAATTCGAACTACTGATGAAGAGCCAACAAATGAAGAAATTTTGAAACATGCTAAATTGTTTGAAGATGAATTGACGTTGGACAGCATGAGCAGACCTCAACTTGTTGCATTGTGCAGGTAATACGATTTTGTGTGTGATGATATATAAATAATGCTGAATTTTACTCATTATTGGCGTTTTTGAGAAATTGACTGAAAGGTTGTTGAGACCAGTCATTTAATTGAAGTAGTTTTGCAAAATATTATTGCTAAAATCAGAACCAAAAATTGTTTAAAAAAGATGTCGGTTTAAAATTTTTAAAAAAAAATATATATGGAAAGATTTCGCTAAATTTGAATAGTGATACAATTGAAATGCAAGTTGTTTGATCTATGTAAAAGTTGCAAATTATTATTTTGTTTTATAAGCAATTTCCTGGGCTTTAAAATACTATTTCATTCGAACTATCTGAGTAAATAATGCATTTTGTATCCAACTCACTAAAATTGAATTTCAAAATACAGGAGAAATATATTTTGATATATTGATCCATTTGGCTACAAATTTGAGCTTCAATAAACAAACCTTTGGATATTTTCAATTAATTTCAAGGAAAACAGAATTTGATAATGAAATCATCTATTTATTATTCATTCAATTTTCAGGCTCATCCAAGTACCTGCTGTGGGAAGTAACAATCTACTTCGATTTTTATTGCAAATGAAGTTGAATAGGTTGCATGCTGATGACACTCTTATTCAAAGAGAAGGCATTGATAACATGACAGCACAAGAATTACAAACAGCATGTCAAGTTAGTTAGTTTCCTGATCAATATTTTATAATTCATCATATTTATAACTGTCATATACAAGCGGTAAATTATACTATTGATAACATTGTTAAGCTACAATTTGTTGTTGAAAATTAACACTAGGGCTGGGCATTTTGGAATACCTGATGATTTCAGAATCAGTCGAATATTTTTTTTGAATCGAATCTCGAATACTTGGGAGTCAAAAGGAGATATGTGATTATATGTTACTTTTTTATTGTAATTGGTCCTGTCAACAAATGTATTACGGAAAACATAACAAATCACTAAGACAGATTGCGGAGCGTTCACAACTTCACACACCATGAAGAAAGACACTTATTTATTAATAACTCACTACACATAATAGTCACATGTCAGAATTGTATTGAAAAAATAGGGCTTCAATAATAAAAAAAATTGGGTAGCCTAATTCACCTTAACCATTGGCGGGAAAAAGCAAAATGGCGGCGATTCGAAATTTTGCTCTGAACCGATTTGAATATTCGATTCGTAGTGCCCAGCCCTAATTAACACTTGAGGTTTGAGTTGCTTCTTGACCTTGAGATATTTTTATGTACTTTTAAAAATATCACTTTGCTAATAATTGAACTAAAGGATTTTACATTTTCGGTACTTAAAGAAGTTCTTAAATGGCTTTTATTTTCTCTTTTATAAATCTTACGAAGCTCATCTTATTACCCTCAATTCAGCATGTTTATGCAATTCACAAGCAGACTGTCACATGACATGTTACAATTCTTTAAAATAAAATTCAGCCCATGTAGTCATTTGACTTTCGGTCCTTGTATTTTTACGCTCTCTTGTTTTAAATAATATTACTTTTACTATCTATATGCATAATTGCAAGAACCTAAAATGCATTCCATCCAATTCCATAGTACACATGAATTCAAATCCTTATTTTAAATTCGATACTCCACAATGCCTGTCTATCCAATGATAACCTCTTGTTTAATAAATATCTTAGAACCTTTGTAATTTGTCTTGTCACTAGAGAATAAAAACTGATATACAGTTACAATGGATACGATTCGTGCCCTGAATGGAATTAATATATATTGTTTATTGCATTTTAGACTGTTTTTGATTCTTATATTTTGGTGCAAATATACATTACTGTGCTTGAAAAATATTTCATTATCAAAATGCTTAACATTACTTCATCAACTTGTAGTAAATGGTGAAATAATAATGAAACATTTTGTCTTCCTGAAATGCTGATGAATTGTTTTGCATAATCGCTGGGCACTTGGAATATTAAATCCTTTTGGATAATTAATTATTCATAGCCTTGGGCCAGTTTTTTTGTCCAGAAGTATATTCTGTTATGTATTAATTAAGAAGTACTGGTAATATCTTATTTTGAAGGACTATACAAGTTGATAGTTGTAACATGACCGTACCCTGTAATTAACCAATCATCATGCCACACGTTCTGTTTCTATGACCTGTGAAAGGAAGTAACACGTTGATCAATTGACGATCATTTTTGCTGTTATACAGCGGACGTGGTCTGGTGGCCTGGTGCAATACACTGGTAGAACAATTGATAGACCTCTTCTGTTTAGATTTCTGTGTAGCACATTATGCATTATCCATTCTCTGTTCCTGGCTATAACTTTTGCTACAGAAGACATAGTCACACTGGGAATTTAAACACAGCCCAGTTTTCACTATTTTCTTTCTTTTTTCATTCCAGGCCAGAGGAATGAGAGCTCTTGGTGTGTCCGAGCAGCGAATAAAACAACAACTTCAACAGTGGATTGATCTTCACTTAAATCACGATGTTCCGAGTTCTCTTCTTTTGTTGAGTAGAGTACTTTTCATGCCTGAAAATGTTCCTGTTGAAACTATGGTGAAGCAGGCTATTTCTGCATTGCCAGAGAAAATCGCAGATGAAGCAGAAGTTCGAGCGGCTGAATTGAATTGTGAAAGAATCGATAACACAAAGAGGTTGACTGCCTTAATATATACTAGTTACCAAAAAGATCAGTTATGCTCGCAACATTATAAAAGTTCAAGTAGATCCATATAAATGGTTGTTTAGAATAGGTTTTTCATATTCATCCCAGGGGAGAGAAATGTTGATAAGATAGCTTAGTCAAATTGTAACCTTGTCTGACTTTGGTGGCCATGTAATTGACAGACAGACAAACATTTTTGTATAAAATTTAGGGTCTGAAATCATGATTTATAGGAATATCTGTTAATGGCTTAGATCTAAATATGGTTTGCACCAAGGCTTATTTGTGATTGTAGTGAAAAATTGTTGCTTCCTTGTCATCAATTATTTATATGATGCTATTAACTGCATTGGACATCTGTGTGTGGAGTTGTATGCAAATGAGGCCATATTATGACTATGAGCCTTATCATGTTCTTCATTTACCATTGTTTTTTTGTCCTATAACTGTTATGAGTGTTATATGTCACAAACAAAGTCCTGAATGACTAATTGTGGGAAATTATTTTGAGCTCTTTGGTGTGCTACAAGAAAACTCACAACTACAAGTTTTCCACTTATGTAATTCATGGAGTTTGCTGATTTCTTACTCAGTTAACTTTATCTCCACAGATATAAGGTCACAAAACAGGAACAGCTTGAAATTGCAAAAGAAGAAAAAGAAGAGAAACAAAAAAAAAGTTAGGAAAGATGCAGAGGAACAAAAGAAAAGGAGAGAGATGGAGGCTGAAGTTGTTGATGAAGGGGTATACATTTTTCTGTCATTTGAATCGCCTATAAAAGCAGAGCATACTTAGAAGTTGGAGCACTCAGGCTTCACTGTTGTTGTAAAATGTTCAAAATCTAAATCACATAGCAAAGTAGTATCTTATCTATGTTCTTATGAGAAAGATTCAATCTTACATATGGGGTGAAAAAAAACCAGAATCCATAAATTTATTGTTTACTTATACAAAAACGAAGGCCTTTTTTCAGCACATTGAACTTATGTTTGTGTATGATTGTACACAAAAGTTTCAGTGATCTAGGACGTGTTGCACAGTTATTTTCTCACTAGAATATGTTCCAAATTGCCTGAGTTTTTGTTTTGTTTGCGAAGTGCCTAGGTGATTTTATTTGTGACTTGGATTTGAGTGAAAAATTCAGAAATATTTCATTTTTTAATGCTGCACAAGTTTTTACAGGTAAGTATACATTTATTGATTTTTTCAAAAATCGTTTAGCCTTGCATCAGATGTTGTTTTATGAACTTTGTTATAGTTCCACTTAATGTGATTCTTTTTTTTGGCAGCCTGTATTGAAAGACACTTTATCTAGCTCAAAGATAAAGCAGCAATCATCTCTGAAGTTCTGGAGTCAGAGAAAAAAATAGCTGATGGCCCAGTTCTCACGGATAAAGCTCCTGTGTTGCTAGAGGAAATTACTCGAGAAGAGATTGATGCCCTTGACAAAGCTATTGGTTTAATGGCAAAAGAAGACTCACTCAATAAAACAAAATCTGAGTTAGAAGATCTGAGAGAAGATTTGGTTGAGTACCAACAAGTGAGTCTTCTTTGTTCGATTTTTCAGCTTTGGTGGCTTGAATTTAAATATTTTTTTTAATGGAAGTTTATTTGAGCTGCAAGTCCTATTTCAAATTTTTTCAAATACTTTATAGTGATTTAATAATGAAAATTGGGCGCTCCAGAAGTATGTGTACCAATATGGAGATAACTAATTTTGTTTGCCTACGTTTTTTACATTGAGTTATGTGAGGGGACGGAAGCCTATGGGCAGGGAGTATATTCACTTGGCTAACACAAACAGTCCCAAACTTGTAATAGAACTAAAATAAGGAAAATCAGAATAAAATTATGCCCTAACTCTAACCCTGTACACATACTACGGGAGAACCTAAAATGTATTCGTGATCTGAAATGAGCTTTTTTTAATAGATGAATATGCATTGATGATAAAATTATTCGTACAATCTGTGTTGTTTATCCAGACCACATTCATTTGTTCTTTTAACAAGTTGTCCAAAGTTTTCATTTCAATGAGAATATTGGGTGCCACTATCTGATGTCCCACCTGGGTGACAGTTGGCACCAGTCGGGTATTGAAAATTATACGGAATCATAAAAATAAATTTACGGTATGGGGTGCCAAAATAGGTTAAATCTACTGAGTAAGTTTGTTCATCAAATAAGCTGGAAGCTGGTGTCAAATAATTTCCCTCTGCTTGTATTCAAGTTTTAGAATGCTTATTTTAAAAATTTGATATTTGTTCAGGATGTTTTGAAGTTGGATAGAAATTTGAGTTCAGAAGAGGATGAAATTTTAATGAAAGAAAAGAAAGCAAGTTCCAGATTACAGAAGAAAATCGCTGGATTTATTGGAAACATGGATGAAATTGTAGCAGAACTAGATCAACGAGAAAATGCTAGGAATAAGACAGGTAACCTGATCTGTATTAATTTGAAATACGGTACATAATCCATTTTGTGATTTTAATTCTTGTTATTTGGTTGTGTAGGTTTACGGATTATAATGGTGTTCTGTTACCTTGTACTTAATAATATTATAACAGCAAACACAGCTTTAATCAAATAGGTTCCCTTTGCAAAGATTGTGTTAGTTACAGTTTTATTTTTATTTTTTTACTGGTAAAATTAACAATAGTCAATCGAATTTAATTATAAAATACCATTCTCACAAAATGCAGGCATTTGTGTATTAATGTCCATAGCTCACTAGTAAAATCTGCATTTTCACCATTGACTTTGTTTTCTTTTATTTGTGATGCTGACCACCTGGGGTTTATTATATTGACTGATAGAGGTATGATCAAATATATGTAAGTGAAGGTGGTACCGTCAGCCATTATTTTAGAACTAAAAGGCTTTCATAATCTTTTTTAAAATTAAGAAAATTTGGGGTACAACATTGGTCCCTTGGAGCCAAAATAATTTTGAAAATAAATGAAAGAATCAGACCTAGGATACATTTGCATTTTTACTACTAAAAGTCGAACGTGACTTCTAGACTGAATGCTCTTGCAGTTATGGTGTTTTTATAGCATTTCGTTTTACAAATTCAGAGTTTGCAAGGTTCTGTTATCTTACTAAATTTAATAATAAATATGTAATATTCTTTCTAGAAGATGATGAATCTGAAAAGCAATCTATTTCTGTCAATGAACTGAAGAATAGTTTACAACATTTATCTGAAATACCACAAGAAAAACTACACAGTATAGCACATCTGTTAGATATCGATAAAGATGGGGAAATAGACCTATCAGAGGTCATGACTGCTTTCGAGGTGAGAAAATGTTTTATTTTTGATATTCTGTGAAGAGAATGGTTCTTAATATTGAGAAGTTGTCTAATAAATAAGCAACCTATTATGCAGGTGGGCACGACAAATTTTGAATTACCATTTTAACAAATGAAGGTATTTTTCTGAAATACAGATAACGAAACCTAAAGATAGTTCAGTTTGCCATGCCCACCGAAATTATCTCAGTTAAATTTATATATTTGTGGAAAGGATTCCAAAACAAATTGAATATTCAAATTTGTTCGAAATTGGTCATATTATATATGATACCGGTATATCAAGTTTAGGGATAATTCAGAATATTATTTCAGAATTTTTCATTTTCAACTATTACCTATTCATTTTCAGCTATTGCTTGCGGTTAAGCATTACAAATTATTTACAATAGACTTCATTCAACTTCTAATAATGTAGAACAGGGTTTGAAATTGAAGATATTTTTGTTATAGCCATCCTTGGTTTTCAGTTTCATCATCAATTTATCTCCGATTCATGTCTCTATTTTAAGGAGTGGTTTCGTATTTTTGGACAAATTTGTGAAATATTGTCAGGTCACCCAAACAAACAATTTACAAAATTATATTTCAAACTGTTAAATTTATACTAAGCCATATTCGTAAGAGTTCAATTTTTTCTCAAACAGAATGTTGTATTCTTTTAGGCATTGGACAGTGAGGACGTTTCAGTCACTGCAGATCAATTACATCAAATTATTGGATTAATTCAATCAAAGAAAGATGAAAAAAAATTTAAATTATCAGAGGAAGTTTAATGATGATTATTATTATAATTGACATATGTTTTAGGCAATTTAATACCAATGTATACCTCATTAATTTTATATCTGAGGAGGTACATTCTATTTTCTATTGTACTAAGTGCAACGATTCTATACCACAGTACCAGAAGTGTAATATTGTGATGCGAATGGTATAGTATGGTATGGTAAATATTTTGTCCACATTTGAAACCCCGAAGATCATCATTTTCTAGATTTCTTCTCACCCAAAAGAATTAGCAAAACCTTACCATTATATTCAGGTCCATCTCTCCCTACATAACCCTGAGTTCATGTGCATTTAAAGGGACATGCTCACAACATGTCGTAAGTTTTTCTATTTGGTGTGGCACAACTATTTTTGCATATGTTATTCCTAACCCCCACCTTACTATGTCAATCAAATATTACGTCACTACGAAGTCATAGTGATGTAAGAGGGCCGAACAAGCTATACAAACTGTCATCCAAGACGCACGGACGATCACCCGAAATCGAGTGTGCTATTTCTCTCGTTTTCTCGTCGTAACGATCCCGATATGAGAGAGATCGCTGGCCTTAGCGAGTTTGTTATCATTGGCGAAGATGCCATTTCGGGCGTTCGTGACTAAACTCTGGCAACTCTTTGATAGGATCGTGAGGTTGTAGTGACGACTGTGACATAATCTTTGGATGACGGGACCAGGTGGGGGTTAGGAATAACATATGCAAAATTGGTTGTGCCATTCCAAATAGAAGTATTTACGTTTTTCAGTGAACATGCGTTCATTTAAATAGCCAACAATTGATCTCAAATCTGGAAATATTTGTTCCAGGTATCTAGTTATCACATTGCTGTACTATTTGTATGGTTGGTTCATAAATCGCAATCTATTTATTACTTGCTATGCAAGTTATGTAATTTTGCACTTGCTTTTATTTCTTCTTGAAACTCCTTTACCCGAACAAAATTTTCTTGACAGAATTGATCCATACACAATCAAATTTACATACAAAGTATTCAATTCATAGATGGAAGTCCGAGAATCGATTTGGCTGCCCATGTTCAAAGCATCAATTGCTCAAATTGTTTAATCATTAACCTAGTACTGTCCGCACCAAACATCAGGTTCATCTCTTTTCATAAATTAAGAATAGTTTGCCTGGCTTGTTTTTGATGTACCGATATTTTGTAGTTTGCATGTTTAGTCTAAGTAATTAAGAAATGAAATTTCCGTTTACAAAAGTCTGTTTTCTTGCTCATCACTAGGGAAGGATAGGGTCCGTCTACTGTGAAGATTCACTGGTTGTCAGTGAGACCCTGCATCATATATCCAGGATAGCACCGTCTTGCGCAGGGCGTCTTAATGAATTCCATTCAGAAACTATTATAGAATATGTAGTAAAAGGTGTGGTTTTGACCTACAGGCAAACATTTGAAATGACAGTTTTCATAACTATTGTGGGCAACAAAAATAATTTTAGACCTAACTTGTATCGGATAAACAGTCTTGTTTTCAACCGGTGTTCCGTTAGAGTCCTGCAGGTTATTTTATGGCAAAGGGAAATACACCAATCATGTATTTAGTTTTTAAGAAGATTCTGTTCCGTGTAATAAACGTTTCCCTGGGAAACGACGTCCTAGTTTATTTCCGAAACAATGGCTAAACAGCAAAATGTTAACGGAAACAATTTAAATTTAATCAACCGCTCAAACGCTATTTTCGAGCATGGTCGTAAACATCGACTAATTTTCGTAATGTCAGGCGTCATTGATCAAATTCTACTATGTTTTTAGAATGTAGGTTTGAATCAAACGGTCATTTTGTCTTATTATAAAAAAAAATTGCTCAAAACTAAGTCACGCGTGCAAACTTTAGTTTAATTGAAGTACCGAAATAAAATAAAAAAACGATTAGGTTATATTACTGTACTACGTTCAGTATTTTTAATGGCACTAATTAAGTATTCGAGAACAAAACAGTTTGCAAACGCCAACTCGTAGAATAGTCTTAAAAGAGGCACTAAAATTAGTCAATGGTATGAGTGCAGGAAGAATTTTTCACGATTGAAAAAGTTATTTTATTCTTGTCAAAATTTTAGAGACACTAATAAAAACTGACATATGGCACATAAAAACAAACCAATAAGTCTGAACGGCCGCCTAAACTTCAATTTCAACCGACTGCCATCAATACGCAATAAACAAATCGATGCTCAGGAAACAATAACGTCCGACAACATGGCGACCTATGTAATATCAATATCTCGTTTTGAGATTTAATGACACCGAGAATTCTAGATTGCAGAGGGACCTGACCGCCAGTGAAATCGATCCCCTTTCTGAGTTATATTCCGATATCTCATTGTCTGCGTCCTAAACTTTTATCAAATTTACTAAAAATAGCTATGACACTAAGGGTCGATACTCCCTATCGTTGAAAACTACTACTACAAGGCCCAAAAAGTTCTCAACAGGGCAACGTGAATAATTACGCGGTTATTTGGAATGAGTTATCTTTCCGAAGATAACATTCAGATCTCACGAATATTATTGGACACGTTTAGTGGACATAACGATCGTTTCAAAATTTTGTTGTTATTTGTCTCAATCATTTTTAAAAAATCGCTTTTCTCTTCGAATACTTAACCAATTGCTTTGAAATTTTCAGTGGTTAAAGATAAAATTTTTCTCCAGAATGCTATTACTTTTTTTTCGCTTTGACGTCATCAAAATTATTGCCATTGGGTGGCGCTACGTGTCCATATATTTGAGCATAGCTCTCTTGTTTAATCTAGCATCGTTTAGCCAGACAAATGCCAAAGCTTTTGTTGACTTTCCCCTACTTGTATTCTTCTATTGCGTCTGTGCTAAATTCAGGTTGAATAAAATTTCCACAAATTCCTCATTGCATGTGCTGGCGTGGAGACCCAGCCTGTTAGTGATGCATCAGTGATACAATTCTTCGTTAAAATACAGTTAACTCGACAAGAATGGCCAGGGATGTAAATATCGTATATTTTATTCTCGAATTCCGAATCAGAATATTACGATTCGAATATTTTCGAACCCGATTATATAACATCATATTATCGTTACCTTTCTTCACATTCGAAACAACTAAATGATAAATTGTGATTAAATGATATTAATGGACTAAGAGATGGATAACGTCAGTAGAAAATTAATTCAAAGTATGCATTAAATACCCAATAAATTGCGGCTTTGGAAATTTTATTAAATGTATAGTGATCGTTTCTGCTAAAATTGACGTTCAAAATTTATCCAAATGTTAAACTCCAGCCAAATGTGCTTTAGTATAGTTTGCGCCAAGATTTTAAAGAAATACAAGAGTACGAGGAAAACATCACAGACCGTGTTTTTAATGAAGAATGATAAATTCATGTTACTATATTGGTACTCCAGAGAAGCGCTTTTATATAATGACATATTTGTAAAATTTCTTAACATTTTAAGTGGTCCTCAAAATTGAGCGAAACCATTGGTTCCTCCAAAACTGTGACCGGACTGAGGAGATGGTAAGAAATCGCAATAGGTTTCAGCTTCATCCCTGGAGCCAAACTACATTCAAACTGTGGCTCAGGAGCAACATTTTTTAGCTTGGACCTGGCCTCTAAGGTGCAGCTTTAACAAAATGTTGCGATTTCGTGCTCCAGCTCTAAATGTGATCTCTATGGAATATAGCAACCCCAGAAGGGTGGCCTTGCAAAAGCAATGAAAATAAACGAAGAGACGATTTTGGTCGATGTTGAGAAAACGCACCGAGTCACGCAATTGCCTCATTTAACTGAATTTTCCTTAAACAGAATCAATCAGTTTGGTTTTTTAAATTGCTCTGGTTCGAAATTGTGGAACTTACATCCTTAACAATGGCATTTCTACCTAAATATAGTCAAAACGATACTTTTCAAAGAATTCTGGAAAATGTAATCAACTTGCAAATAACAGTAGCTTCTTTACATACCGTCAGATACCAATGGCTGCTTGTACAGGGCCGTGTTCCGGGCGAAAGGGAGCGCCGCATATAATACATGTTCCATCTGGAATCAAGAAACATTTTATTTATGGCGAAATTCCTTTTGCCTCAGAGATAGGGAATGTTCACAACTATTACGATTTTTGACACTGGTGAAATATTTTCCATTCGCAAACAAAAGACACGTCACTCTTATGATTTTTCATAACAGACAAGCTCCAATTCCTCAAACATAAATTCGCTCATTAATTTTTGTGACATCGCGGCAAGATAACGATACTACAAAAACATTATGAACTTAAGCACGCGTTGCCTTATTTCGCATTTGGAACACACGCACCATCACGGTCTCACAATTCATCTTCGACGAATAGGTTGTGCAACCCTGCATTGATAAAACGATGCTATTATATTTCATGCAGCTGACTTCATTTTTCATATGTTGTATTTTGCAGCTAGATTTCATTACATGATACTGCATCATTGAAAATAAGTCTGAATTTCGGTGAAGCACTCCTCTGATAAATAGCAAATAGGCAACCTGAAATATTTTTGCCCAAGTTGTGATGATCAAGACAAGATCACATATGTTTTGATTGTATTTCTCAATGCCTACTGGGCCTATAGACAGACATCCATGGCATATTGTACTGCACAATGACCCATAGGAAAAATAAATAAACCTTATAATTAAGTGCAACATTGATATTAGGAAAAGTAATGGTAGTTAGTTCACAATTTTCAACTTCTGACCACAACCAAATATTTCGCCTGGCTGTAAAACTTTCCTTTCACTGACATGTCCAGCTTCAACACAAATCATATTCAAATAACCTTCATCATCAAAGTCCGACATTTCTTTTGCTTTGGCAGACCATGGATTCCAAAGAACTGAAATACACAAAATGCATTTACTCATAAGCAAAGCCACGAGTGGTCACCAAAATCTTTGGCCCTCGTGATAAATAGTCTACACAAAATTAGATTGCTATGCAATAATAGAGGTTACTTTACTTTAAGCAAATTTTCTTATAAACCAAGTGCCTGTCAATTTATACTAAATGCTTTGTGTTTTTGATACAACCTATTACACTACTCTTCCATGTGGTTCGTGTACCAGCTCCCTCCACTATATATTGTGGATCTGTAATTATTAACTGAGTCGTTATAATACCAGATCTGATCTGGTAATCAACTGAGAATCATTGTTCCTCTTCATATTGAGCAGTTTTATCTTCTACTCCTCTGGTATAAATATGAAAAATCTGTCAATGAAATGGAATTCATAAAGTTTTTATTATATAACCTGTATCCTTGAGATTTTGTTTTTCTATTTTGATTTTCCTCCCCTGACTGGATACAAAATGACATTTGGTTCCTGCAGAAATGTATACAGAGTCCACATTAGCATCAACGTGGATTTTTTCACGATTTTCCACTCTCCCATCTTCCTTAGTAACCTGTTAAACAAATTCATTTTAGATGGCTTAAACGAATGAGATAAACAAAAATCACTTTAGTTCATTATAAAACTACCTTGTCATTGTATGTACAGCCTTCAAACCCAGTGACTGAACACTCTTTAATGCTTGACACTCTGAAGTACGTATGAAGCAAAGCTGTGAAATCAAATGATTCGGTACCAGTGTTCGATATGGAAAGAGATGTCTCTAACTCCTGTGGTCTCAATTCAACAGTGTATGTCAACCGGAATCTATAATACACAAAAATTAACCAAAGAAAATCAGGCTTAAACAGCATGACTGTGGGCTGTGGCACAGTGATCCTAACTTTTTCAGCTCACAACACACCAATAAATCTCAGCATACTTAGTACAATACAAAGTTCTTTAAATCATTTCTTTTGTAACTTTAATCCGATAAATGTGGGTGCTCCAAGCAGATTTGAGTTGTCACTCACCATCACCAGTGCCATTAAACTCGTTTATTTACTTTTAATTTCTGTTAGAAATCCATATTTGTGATCTCAAACTACTTGTTTGTAAGAGTTTGTACATAGGCTGCTCAAGTTAATACACTAATTATACTTATTTCACATGGCCTGACAAAAAGATTAGCGAAATCCAATATCCAAAAATTGTGATGTCAGCAAATGCCAAATACACTAACCACAATAATATGTAATATAAATCCTAGGTCAGTGCTTCAAAATTTAAATATTTTCATGATACCAACCTGTATTTCCACAATGATAATGTGTGATCATTTTCTTCTAAAACAAACGTTGCTTTCACATAGTCTTCTAACTGAAAAAAAAAAAAGATTCTTCTTTCATAAAACATCAAGATAAGATCATAGATGTAAAGATTAAAAATAGACATACCTTTTCCTGTTTTTGTAACTTCCACCAGGAAATTCGAGCAAACCCATGTTGAGGACCACATGACCATGGACCAAAGTTCGCTAAACAAAAATTTTTGGATTGGTAATATCAAAAATATATGAAACTACACTTCAATGAAGTACCAATCATCTAATGAAATCACAGGTATAAATATGGCAATTACATAAATTGACAATTTAAACTATAACATTTACCTCTACTTACGAAATATGACTGGTATTCCTCCTCTGATTGCCTTGCTTCCATCCATTTTTGACAAAGTGCTCAAGAACAACTGCTCTGTATTATCATTAATCCATGATATAACTGTTGCACCAAATAAATGGATTTTTGCCGACGAGCCATTATCATGAATCAAAGTAACAACATTTGCATCCATATTCATATAATAGATTAATAGAAGTTAAATAAATCCTAAAGAAAATTTGAAAGCAGTCATTATGATTAATTCATGAGGACCAACAGAACAGAGTCAGTAACATGGCGGTAATTTCAAAATGGTAATTCACTGGCATACTATTCATCTGCAAACACATCTGAACAAAGGGACTATAAACTGAGAAGGAAATTTCAGACTTATAATCTTTCATTTTTAATCTAGCTTGGCATGTCCTCAAAATTATTCTTTGTACGTTGCAACAAGAACACTCCTGCTGTCAAGCCACCAATGTTGATATATTGCGTCTTTTTCAATTTCCATAGGAAGTGAAGTCCATCAATTGATCGTTTAATTGTTCTTTTGTCCTAAATTATGTTAAAAGGGTGAAATTAATAGGAGAAAAACTGTGCCAGTTTTTTATAAATAATGAATGGCCATTTTCTATGAAGATATACACATAGCATATTGAAGCAAGAAATAGCTCAAAGCTGAAATATTTCAGCTTGCATTTCAGTTGCTCGGAAAAGGCTGTGCGTAAGCAGTCATTGATAAGGTGCAACTTTCATTTAGGACGCACCAAAATTATTTCAATTCGACATCGCATAGCCAATTTATTACACCCTGTGTGAGGTGGTGAGCATGGGATTTCAGCCCAAGATCTTAAACCTCAAAGGCTATCAAAGTTAAGGCTAACTGTAACTAACAATACCGAACCCACAAATATGAAATTTCATAAGTGTCCTTTGTCTGAAGACACAACGGGTCAATAATTGTCACAAGTGTCTATGATGGTCTGCGAACCAGGCACCACTAAGCAGAACTAAGAATTCAATCCACATACCAAACTATGTTAACAATTAAAGTAAAGGCTATTATACCTGTGTGAGCAAACATGCTCTTCCACTGTCACATATAGTTACTCGTGCAAGTTCTTTTAATAATGCTGGATACAGTTTACGATTATCAACTTTAGATCCAACACGTTTCCCAAATGGTAAATCTGATACGACAACATCGATTGAATTAGTCTTCAGTGGAAGACAAGTAACATCCCATTGTATGGTATCTGCTCTGAGGTTCATTCTTTGCAAAATAGGATGGTTATTATTGATAAGGACAATTAAATAAATAAGTTTATACAATGATAAAATCCAAAAGATGTCGACCGGAATCTATAATACACCAGTAATTGATGCATTTTCAACTAAAGAAAAGCAGGGTAAAATGCATGACTGCAGCGAGGTTCTACCGTTACCAAGAACATTGAAATTCGTCACCATTACACTTGTTTCTGATTTTAATTTTTGTCAGAAATCCATATCACATAATAAAATGATAAGTTTATATATAGTGATCCAAAAGATATAATTGTAAAATACTGTACTTCCTTTTATCATGAATCTATGAAAGCCAGCATTTTCATCTCTTTTTAGACAAAGTCTACCTTATATTTAACACTGGAGTATTTTTCAATTTTAAATCATAATCACCAACCTTTTGTCTTTTTCATGGTGTCCATCTACAAAATCTGGATTTTCGTTAATAAATTGTAAATTACAAGAACATCTTTCTGTGGCCGAACTAGTGTTGTCACCTAAAATTTAGAGCTGAGTTTATTATGCTGTTATTTTTTACATTGAACTAAATGACACAAAGCAATCAATACCTCCTATATGATAACTATTTGGCCATTCCAAAGCACCTTCAACTGGTATAGCACCTGAACCACACATTGGGTCGACAACCAATTCTCCCGTCTGTATATTACACATTCTAAGCATGCAATAAGCAGTTGTAGCACGTAGTGTGGTTGCACCAAAATGAGTAATATTCCTAAAAATAAAAAGAGATATCAATAACTATGTTTAATTAAGGTTAAAAGATCCCCATTTTAATAAAATTACTACGCTAAACAAGTGTCTTTTAACCTCCTCAGTCCTCACACTTTCAAAAACCTTGGTGAATATTTACATATTTCAAGATGTGCTGTACAACATTTCAATTGCTTATTTAGCTCAGCCTAATTGACATTTTTTAAACGAAAAATATTATAGGATGAAACTGGCATTTAAAATAACATTTTTAAATACAAGCAACAATAATGTCAACAACAGCAAATAAGAAGGCATTCGTGACTCAATCTTGAATGATGAAAAACGGGGGTGATCTATTTGTAGACAAAGCAAAATATGACTGCAGTTGAAACACAAAATAGAATTTATACCATTATCTATTTCATTTGTAATAATGTTGTTAAATATATGGCTTATTGACCAACTGAGATATTGTTTTAATAATAACCTTCTGTGCAAACTCTGAAGAGTCAATGCTACTGCAACTTCCAATGAACTCTCTCCTAGACATAGCATAATCTCCAAGTTGTAATTTGACAAATCAACCTGAAATGAACACACTTTGTAAATTTCAATCCATTTTGAAAATTTGATATTTATTAATAAATGATATTGACAGCATAAGAATATTTTTTTTTATGAAATGATTTGAAATTTAATGTGATCAAGGCTGTCGAACACGAGTGTGCAAACTGTGGCCCATGGGCCAAATGCGGTTCACAAGAAAAAATTGTAACAAGTTAGCAATTTGGTTTAATCTGGTACGTGCAAGTAATTTTAATCCCTTTACGTTGTAAAGCATATACCGTAACTGAGTCCAAATATTTTTTATCTATGCCTATGAAGTTACAATGCCCTAACTAGCTTGTGCGAAACAAACAATGCATGTCATGGGGCCAAAGTATTTTTGCTTGCAACTACTAGAAAGTCTATGTTAAACAAATGGGCAGCCCGTGGTTTTACACAGAAGTACTTTCTGCAACTTCGCGAGCTGCAGTTTATTTATCTGCTGAATCGAGTTTAGCGAACATGAGTAATTTTTTCGGCATTTCAAAGTAAAATCAGACAGAGATGACGGAAGAAGAGTTGACCATTTGCCTTTATTCTTAAGACCTACCTGTTTGCCTATAGCAAAACCAAAAGGATTGCTGCAAACTTGATAATGAACTTAACAGTCAAAAAGCTAGGCCGACGGTTAACGAATATGCCCCTACCTTACCTTAGTTAGTCCGCTTTAGGCCAACGGTGACACGATATTGAACGGTCAGTTGGGCGACAACTTCACGATCCCTAGATCGCCATGGTGACCCATTTAGACGTATTTTTGATTTATTTTTCACAGAACACTCGAAAGACGCTCGCGAAACACTAGTGTTCGGCGGAACACAGTTTGGGAAACGCTGCTGTAGAGTGTAGACAATCAGTCCAATCTTTTACAATATAATGTTAGAAAACAAAACTTCACCTGCCAATCTGTAATATCTTGAATCTCGCCTCCAAATCGATAAGATGCTTCGGGGGAAGTGACAGGTTGTTTTTTTCCAACTCTATTAGTTGTGACACGATATCGCACCAATGTTCCATCTGGGGCTATATTGGGTACAATAGGAGTCCCATTTTGACTTGTTCGTGGCTTTTTTGGTTCTTGAGGCTCAGTATCAGATGATGCTAAAATGTCATCTTTTGCTGGTTCCCTAGGAGAGTCATCCAATTTATCCCCGTTGCAATAGGAATTGCCTTTTGCCTGAGATTTTGGGTACTTTTTGTAAAGGTTTTCTTGTCTTGATTTACCTTTGCAGTACTGCTTATTGTAGCCCCAAAATTTTACAATATCAGACCAGTTGATTTCTCTTGCTAATTGTACAAGATCAGCATAAGATTCTTCTTTAGTTTCCTTGTAAATATAGTTTTCACATGTTTTTACAATCAAAAACATGCGATCAATCGACCTCAATTTATGAGCAAGTGCTAAAGAACTTCTGTTTGTTTTCCAATACACACGACCTTGCTTGACAATTACATCACTCTTATCCATATATGGAAATTTTTCTTGTATTTCATTTGCAGCCACTTTTTCAAGCCCTGTTGCCACAGATGCAGCAACAGTGACATTATTGTCTGGGTTAATATGGTTGGGATTCATACTTTAGGAAAAATAAGATGGGAGTGAGTATAAAGAGAAGGGGTAAAAGGGTGGTCGTTCATAACTATGCCTTATTTGTTGACCGTATCACCAGTAAAATGAGATACCATCTGCCCTTAACATAAAGTGGGTTTATTTCACAATTTCAGTTTATTGTTTATCAATTCGGTATTCAAATTGGCAATCCATATAACAAAATTATCAATGTGATTCATTTTTCACAGTTCTAGTTTTCTACTTTATTTGTTACAGTACTATCAAACTATGAAACATTATCCTAAGTTTCCCTCGTTATTTATTTGTTTTATCTGTTTTGCTGTGTTTGAATTAATTCTATATTTTCCACTTCCTTTCGGTTGTAAAACTTTTAATTTAAATTTGGCACCTTCTAAAGCTTACATAAGGCTTTGTTTGCCCTCCTGATTCTGTAATTATTTTGTTTTTATTGTTTGTTATGCGCTTGGTACGATATGTCCCTACTAAAATTGCTATATATGTTTGCTATGCCTATGCCCTACTAAAATGGCTATGTCCATCCTAAAACGGCTATGTTCATACTGAAATAGCAATGCCCATACTAAAGTAAAAAGGCTATGTCTCTGCTAAATCAGTAAATTGGCTATGTCCATACTAAAATGGCAATGTCTGCTAAACTGTCATAGTATTCACGTGTGTGTTGCGTGAACGTAAATTAATACGTCCGTTCCTGCTTGTCTAAAGCCTTGCTTAGAGTGAAAACGTATAACACCTTATTAATAACGTGTGACACAATACCGGTACATGACCTATCGCAGGACATACGGTATAATAACAAGTCTTTCTGGTTTTAGGTGTATGGTCCCAGCTACACCCATTGTGTAAACGTAGATTAATACGTCCGCTTCTGCTTGTCTAAAGCCTCGCTTAGAGTGAAAACATATAATGCCTCGTTACTAAAGTGTGGTACAATATAGTTGCATGAATGTAAATTAATGTGCTTACTCACGAAATCACAAGTTGCTCAGATGAGGATATCGTGAACGTTGGTCAAAATTGGTGTTTCGCTTGAGTTGCGTATTTATTTTAGCTCTGCGAAACGGTGAAGGTACGAGAGAGGTCGCCGGCGTTTGTTCCATACTCGCATGCGCCATTACGGGTAATCGCTGTACTTTGGCAAGCTTTTATTCAGTGATTGTGACGTTGCAGTGACGTACCGTGCGTTTTACATGGCATAGTCATGGGGGTTAGAAATAACGTAGGATAGGCCTATTCCTGTATGCAGAAATCGTTATGCTACGCCCACTAGAAATGCTTGTTGTACTAACTGACTAAACTACCTAGACCAGTAGACCCAGGTATGACTGTATGAACGTATGGATCAGAGACTGGATATTCTCTATAGTCCTGCACCGGTAGTCAGATAGTGGTGGTAGCATAAAAGTCATATTACAATATTGGGGATGTGATATTTTTGTAAAAGTATCGCTTTGTGTCCACGCAGATCCTAATTATTCACAACTTATAAACAGTAGGCCTCTAAATGAAGAAAATGTCGGAAGAAGATGAATATGACAGTTTTGATGATGAAAAATCACCAAAGAATAGCGAGGGAAGATCGAGCAGGCAAAGCAGAGGTCATGATGAAGACACAGATGACGCTAGTGAAACTGACCGAGCTAAATTTGAAGAAGAAGCTTTGGACCAGATATATAGGGACAAACTTGGTCAACTAAAAAAGCAACTAGCACAACTTGATTCTGGCACTTTGCAAGAATATTGTAAAAGATTGAAGAAACTGGAACAAGTTCACAAAGATAGACAAAGACAAGCTCATGCACATCAAGAATATTTATTGTATAAAGTTGAACAAGAATATGAACGAGAGAAAAAAGCTGCTATGAAAGACTTTGATGAAAAGAAGGTTGAATTAAAAGAAAACTTAATTGCAGAATTACAGGAGAAAAAGAAAATGATCGAATCTGAGCGTCATACAATGGAGCTCACAGGAGTTTGTCCTTCAATGGGAGATGCGAAAACACAAGTGAAACGTAATTTACGTCGACGAGCACATGACCCTGCCCCAGCAAATAATGATAAACGCCGAAAACCGAGTCCAACGCAACTAAATTTTGTACTTGATGATGAAGAAATTCTAGAAGATCTTAAAATCATTAACAAAGGCAAACCAGCAAAACTTTCTCATGAAATATCAGTGGAATCTCACAATACGAGTGGACAACCAGTAGAAGCTCGAATCGAGGGAGGAAAATTATTATATGATAAGAAATGGTATCACAGGGGGCAGCCAGTTTTTATTTATAATTACAAAGATAACACAAAGTTCAGTGGAGTTATTACAGTGATCGCTGACAGAGAAATTACAATTCGCAAAACATCAGGTGTGTCTGTACGGATATTTGCTTCACAGCTTCATAGAGGAAAGTATGGAATAAAAAAGAGAATGACTCAATGACAGTGACATTGGCGCATTACCATATAATGTCATCAGTAAATGTGTTGTTACCACAGGATGTCACCGAAGGTGCACTGTTGTGAGAATGACAACCTTTTATTCCCCAAAATACGGGTCTTGTGGGAAGTCTGTATGCACTAATGCCTTATCCAGAGACTTGTTTAAGACGAAAGTATGTGGACATTGTGCTAATATTGTGATGTACTTGATAATATTACGCAGTATAAACAGTTTTATGATTGTAAAATTTTGTTGTATTAGATCCATGAATTATAAAAAAGTATGAGGTTTAATGTCTGATTTTAGCATCTCTTCTTCAAGGAGCAATTTTATTATTTTATTATGTTTTGCTATGAAAGTTGTTTTGTGGAGCATCTGTCGCATATAACTGCAAACATAAATAGTTTCAAAGTGATATTATATTAGAATATTATTTAGATCAGGGGTGTCAAATCCTAATATGATGTTTTATGTTTAAAAAGGCGCTCACATGGATAAAATACATAATGTTTCTTTTTGCTCTTGTCACTGCATTGAATCTTTCGCTGTTTTGCTCAATGCATCTATTACTGTAAGGCTAAGCGAAAGCCGCAATCTCTCGTCTTGTCTTTACTGCTAAATTTCTTGTGTGACTCGACTAGATGTCTGATGTTGGTTATATGGCCCATTGATAAAAAATGTTACACACCCTTGATTCAGATATTTCATATTCATAATTATTTTTCATCCTGTGTTTGGGATGTGGATTATTCTGTTTCTGCCTATCCCTGTCATAGTGTGAAGTGGAAATAAACTGTTGAGTTATACCATTGCTTTATGATCAGTTTTAATAGAATAAGGTTCCGTTTGACAATTTGTTTTCACTTGCTGATGGATACTGCTGAATCATCAGCAATCATATTTTTAATTGTATACCTAAGTTGACAGGAATAAGTTTCATATTCTTGTAATGTCTTAATCTAACAAATACCATATTATGACAACTGACGATGCTTAATTTTTCCTTTCAACCGGTGGCTGCTTTAGCAGAATTTTGTTTATTTTTTGTACATATTTGTATATCATTCTATTCTTTTATTTAGCCTAAAGATTTTAAAAACCCTAATAAAACAAAATGTCATTTTGTAGACATTCTGAACCCGTTGCTCTTCAGCGAATTTGGAAAGCAATTGATGTTATTCGTGGCCAACGTCAAATTGCCAATCTTTCCCGAATATCTAAAGTTATACAAAGAGAGTACTCCTATACTCCAAAAGAAATTTTACATCATATTTTGAAGGCTGTGAAGGACAATATGGTTGTAGAAACGGTTTCAGTTGGTTGCAAAGGTTCCAAAGCTGGGATGGAACAAGAAGGTTATTGGATTCCAGAAGATTCTAAAGTTCACTGGTATGAACAAACTCATGATTGGTATTGTTTCATATGTCATAAACCTGGTAGAGTCTTGAAATGCAAAGATTGTGTGAAAGCTTTTCATAAGGAATGTATGGAAAATTCAATAGAAGAAACCAAAAGTTGTAAATACTGTAGACGGAAAAATACTGCGTTATTGGATGTCAATCATACCAGAAAAAGTAAGGAAATATTTAACAAATGTTTGAGATTTATTGCTCACCGAGCAATGGAAAATTTTCCAGAGATATCGCATCATCCTGATGCGGAAGGTTATATGCATTATAATTACTTTATAAAGCAGCATATGAATTTATATGAACTGGAGAAGTTATGTAAAGAGAATAAATTTGAAGTTGCCTTGGATTTTCTTTGTTATGTAGAACTGATTGTTCATAATTGCATACTTCTGCTCGGTGAAAACCATGAATATTCAAAATCTGCCAAAAGTGTGTTGGAAACATGTATGCATGAGGTCAAGGAATTGTCTTTATGCTCTAACTGTTACTTTCTGTCCAGCACAAAACCAACAAAAGATTGGTTTAGCGCTCCATGTCAGCCACCTCATAGAGTTGTTTGGGCCAAGCAAAAAGGATTTGAATATTGGCCTGCTAAGGTTATTCAAGTGAATAATGATCAAGTGGATGTTCGATTTTTTGGTGGTCATCATGAGAGAGCATGGGTTAAAGTTGATAGTATGAGAAGCATTGTTGTTAGTCCTTCAGAATTACAAATCAAGATAACTAAAAGTTGGAATAAAGCTAATGCTGAAATGAAAGAATACATCATACAGACTGAAAAAGTTTATGGGTCAAACTATGCTGCTCAAATTGTTTCTTTTGACTATGAATGTTCAAGCGAGGAATCCTCTGATAGAGGACAAGAACTTTCAAACATTGAGCTACAGACAAAAGCAGCAAAGCGTAAGGCAAATCCGAAGGACTCTACGACAGAAAAACAAGGCAAAATTCGTTTAAAAATCTCAAAGTCTAGGCTTAAACCGGAGAACATAACTGAATCTGAAAGCAATACTAGTGGAAGTTCTGCTGTGATAGGGATTATACAAACTACGCATGCAGATAGAAAAAAGCAGATCTTAGTGCTTGGTGAAAAGGCAAAACCGAATAGTGAATGTGCTCGTACTTGGCAATATGGAACTGATTGCATTGTTTTAATCAAAAAATATAATTTGAAGAAAAAATACTCTGGTCTTGCATACCCAAATATCCAAAGTTCTAGAAAAGCACACAAAGTGGAATCAGAAAAAAATCAATTGTCCAAGTCATTTAAATGCAACTGTCGTAAACGATATCAATTAGTGTTATCTCGATATAAAGCATCTGTGAGAAAAATGAGAACAGTAGAGCGAAAGCATTTGTTGATTTCAAGTGCATTGTACATTCGGCGATATTTAAAACAGCAATTCACTCGCGCACAAGATCTTGAAGAGGAAGTAGCTCGATTAAAATCAGAAAATAAATTGCTAAAATCAAGATTTCCTGAGAACGCTGAAAGTGCAGTAATGGACACGACAATATTAATTTAATTTTTCTTACATAACTTGGATCTGATTATCATTCACTATATTATTTGGATATCCTCAGTCATCAATTTGTTTCATATATATATTAAAAATTGGGCGCTCCAGGAGTATGTGTACTAGTACTGAAACCTATGGGCAGGGGCTATATTCACTTGGCTAACACAGACTGTCCCTGAACTCCCTAATAGAACTAAAATGAGGAAAATCCTAATAAATTATGGCCTAACCCTATCCTGGTACACACATTTCGGGAGTACAGAAAATTGCATGCGTTAACGCCAACTGTGCATCTGTCAATGAATCTTTTAAATTTAACCTTGTCATTATACTAAAAATTCATCTCTGTGTATGCCTTTAAAAATTTTAAGTATGAAAGTGAAAAATAAAAATGGCTGCTTCCATGTTTCATATAGCCTTGCATCGCAAGACTTGTCCTTTTATTCTCATCTATGTATTATGTTTTTATCTACACTGGTTACAAACCTGTATATCAATCACTGTTCAATAATTTGGAATGAAAGAATTTTTTTTCAATCATGACTTACAATATTTCTTTTTCTACATGAATCTTGAGTTTGGCTTGGTATTACCGTCTCTTTGTAATCATGCTTTCTACAAAATTCACATTTACTCAACATCACGATGCTCGCCAATACTGCTACTCCAATAACCTAAGTTGGTAAAAATGTTGCTGATATTTAGCCATATCAAATTAATTTCAATTCAATCAATTGGAAGGAATTTTTTTTCAATTTAAATACTGTAGTTATATCGGTTCTGCTAATGTTTTAATATAAAAATGAACAATTCAAAAAAGGTAACAATGTCACATTAGTTTTGGCCAATTTTTAGAAATACTGGTTCATACTAGCATAAATTATCAGATACTGGTAATCTCATTTTTGGACATATGGAGAAAACTCCATTAATATCAAATATTTATAATTGAAATTCATCGAAACAATCCAGGTTATGCTGAATTCAAAAGTTGGTGGTATTGATAAAATGTCTACAATACAGAAAAACGCCCAAGATATGTCCTTGCCCGTTGCTGAGATTTTTTATTCCATCTTGCAGATTGATAAATTCATTTCATTATTACATTGTTTGATCCAGATAGAAATAATTTTCTAAACTAAATTATATCATTTCCATTGGGAGTAAATACGGTAATTTCAATTTTTCGTATCTCTTTACAAATCAATAACAGAAATTTGCAATCAAAGAATGTAAAATAATGAGAAATTTCCACTGTATTTGTGTTTATATCATCTGAACCTGTAGCATGAATTTTTTGTCTGCCATCTACAGGTAGTTTTTTGTTGGTGATTGCAAACTGTTTATAAGTAAGACTGTCCACATACCAGAATATTTGTATGAAATTCAATAATTGAGTGCAAATGGGGTGTTGTATATTCAATTTTTTTCTGATGTATTTTTTTATGTTTTGATTTATTGTATACTTAGAAACACAAATCTGTTAACGCCTAATTTTCTTTTGTGTTTTTTGCATTGTGTCTTATTCTAATCATTGCTCAATTTTGTGTTCAATATTCCTTACTTTAGTAAAGCTTTAAAAACTAAGTTGTCTTTTCTTAATTTTTTTGGATACATAACACAAAGGACGAGACATAGATTCTATCGGTGAGTAAAGCAAATATATTGAGTCATTGCATGGATTTATACTGACGTTGTCTATTCCCTGAGTTTCCCACAGGCTCATAATCACGTAATTTTCTTGAAGTCCTGAATTCTCATGTTATTTAATCCATCAGACTGCTAGGAAATGTAACTCCAAATTGAATTATGAATAAAATTTATTATCACAGTGTTAAGGAAAGTAGTTGAATTCTTAAACTATAGCATGCAGTTAGAGTTGAGTTTTCAATGTTTTATTTAGAGTTTAGGATTTCAAAAAATAGAGTAATAAAATCGAGATAACCAGAATATCCAAGAGAGATAATATGTTCTAAAGCTCCTGTAATAAATATTCTCTTTATCGCATTTTACAGCATCTTCACTTTGTAAATATGAGAATTGGAATTTGTTCAATCCTTTATGCATGTCTGCTGACTTCAACTTTCTGTGAAACAGTAAATTTTGATCCATATGAGGTTATGAGCTTAGATCATTCTGCGTCACAATTAGATGTGAGATCTAAGTACAAAAAACTTGTCAAAGAATGGCATCCTGATAAAAACAAATCACCAAATGCACAGGAGAAATTTATCAAGATACAACAAGCTTATGAGGTAGGCCTATATCGTTTACAGTATAGTGCCCAAGGTTTGACCATTTCATGTATATGAGATTCGTGGACTTTCAATAAATGTCCCAGGCGGGTTTGTGGGTAGGACCCCCAATTTGAGACTGAGAGTTTGGGAAAAATTAGTTATTATATTATAATAGTGCTGCTCATGTAATCGCTGCTGCTGTTTTAGGAGCTATTGCCTGTGAATTATTTCTTCTGTTTCTTGAATTCCCCCCCCCCCCTTTTAAAAAAATGCCTATGCCCCTGATGTTGAATTAATATAAAAAACACAAATCTGAAGATTTCCAATACAATTTTACAACCTATTTTATGATAATTTGAAGCACAGAGCTTGAAGTGAATTGTCATGACATTCAAGTCTTTCTTTGCAGATTTTATCAGATGAAAACAAGAGAGAACAATATGATACAGGTGGTTATACTGGTGACAATGTAGGACAATGGCATCACCAGAGCGAATCCTTCAACTTTCGTTATTCTGATTTCTCACATGACTTCTTCAGTTCTCAAGGTGAATAGTCAATGCCATAGAAAATAGGAAAATTGGTAGTTGTCTTATCGTTATTGTTTCAGTAAAATCTTATTTAAAACTGGAAAATCTTCCCCTTCCAGGATCTAGTCGAACTATTTCAATCCATGACTATTATACAAGAATTTTACCAGACAGTCATCATACACCTCATCTCATTTACGTTTACTCAACATTTTGTGCTCAATGTATATTATGGTTGAGAACAACTTGGCATAAAGCTGCATCTGATATTGAAAACCTTGGTGAGTATTTATATTTGCATTTTTCTATTGTAAACCACATGCTGCCTTGACCTCAGTAAAATTTAATTATAGATATACCATGGTTTTTGGGCTGTGCTATACTCCCATGTCCCATTATATTTTTTCTTCAATTATTCTTAGTTCTATCTTAATAAGTTAAATTTAAAATAATGATGGTTGGTTCGATCGAATAGCAATGTATCATTTATTTATTCATTTCAGTATAAATATTGGGCTTGAGAAAGCTCCAATATTTGAGTTTACGCTTATTAGATGCAAAGATGTAGTAAATAAACTGTATTGATTAAAGAGTTTTGTGATTAGTTTGGTGGTTGCCTCATTGTGCCAAGAATGCCATCGCATTTCGGCTTACCCTCCGAATATTACACGGGGATAATTCTTTGCAATAGTATTGACAACGGATTCATGCTGGCAAGGTATGGCTGCATCTACAACCAAGTCCATGCATCTGAAACAAACAACCTTTTATCTATTCCCATACCCACCTTGATCTGGTAACCGGACGAGAGGCTGTGTTTCGCCATATGATTAGGTTGTCTTATCGGCTTTCCTCTTCCCTTGAATCCTATCCTAATATCCTCTTTCTATTAATAAACTGTATCATTCATTTCCAGGTGTTGCTGTTTATACTGTTGATACAACATTTACATCTCGTATTGCTGTTAGTTTGGGAGTAACAAGAGTTCCAACAATTATAGGAATGTACAAAGAAAAAATTTATTATTTCAAAGGACAAATATCAAGAGAAGAATTGAAATTTTTTATTAATTCTTTTCTTCCATCAAATTTGGTTACTCCGGTAAATATCACTGGTTGATAATTGAACGTTGTTTATGTTTTAAATCTATTGCTTTTAAAAAATGACTATATTTTTTACTTTTATTGTAGTATTACCATTTTAGCTGGTATTAAAGAAGTCTTTGCCACTAATTTTTACTCTGTAGTAATGCCTTTCCAAGTGATTTTTTCTCATTTTATTAAACAACTAGTTATCAGTGGCTATATGGTATCTACTGTAAATTGACGAAGCTGATATAGGTAAAAGGCTCGAGTGCTCAATGACTTTGTTATACTTTTGCACATTTTCAGTGATTTTTCACAACATTGCCTCATGCAAATCTACATAAAATGGGCATTTTCTGTTTTTAAAATGACAAAAAAACATTTACGAATAATACAACTTCAATAATGGTTGTGTGAGTAGTTTTTATGAAATGTATTTTCCACCAAACATAAGAATACTTAACCAATTGTGTCATTTATTTTCAATGTTTCTATACTTCATATCAGCAAGTTATGCTGATTTTTCAAAAAATTCCACCATGTCCAAGGCCATTCTTTTTTCCATACTTATATTCTTTCATACTTTTGATAGCTTAAGTTGAACTTGATACAAGATTATTTACTCTACTTAGATCACTGATGACAATGCCAAGAGCTTCCTGTCTGCAATAGAATTGGATGATAAACCCAGAGCATTGTTGTTCTCAGAGAAGCCAACAGCTACTTTACTATACAGACTGATGGCTTTGAAGTATCAAAGATATATCAGTATGTGACTATGTATTATTAGTTGTATATTCGATATTGTGATTCCTTTATTCTAAGAATGGCTCGAATGTCAAAACCAATGTTTATCTAAATCTCTTGTGTGAATATAATTTAGATTTGTGTAAGTTTAATTGTCACTGATAGCATATAGCCATTTCTACCAGTAAGGAGAAAATTGTTATTTCCTTTTTCAGAGTTTGGACATGTAAAGTTAAATGATGAAAAAACAGCTGGACTGACAAAAGCATATGGCGTCAGCACAACTGGTCCCACTCTTTTAGTTTTCAAAGAGAACGTTGGAAAACCTGCAGTTGTACTGGGGGTAAGTTTATATTGTGTGGTCAATATCTTAATCATAAGTATATGACAATAAAAATCTATCAGACGTATGCAGCTTATCGATATTCGTTACCTTGGAATTTCTTCCCTATGTTTTTCCCAAATTAAAAGAAACTTTGTTTCATGGGTGCCATATTTTGTCTTATACAGCAAGGCAGTTTAATGATTAAGTAGTCATCTCATACCTCAAACTGTCGATTGAAAAAGAAGAAATATGATTATGTCGTCTTATAATTATTATGTCATCATATTTCCTTTCCCAGCTGAACAATTTAAAAATGCTATTTTCCTGAATTTCATCATCAGATGATTTTTTACCATGTTTAATGGATCCAAATTTTGATTCGATTGTATATGCTTATTCATTAGTTTCTTTTTTTTTTTTTTCAACTCATATTACAAATGTTGTTTTGCTATCATAATTTGTCTAATACTCACTGCTCTTGTTTCAATCTCAAGTCAAATGAAATGCCTCGTGGAGCAATTAATGAAATCTTATCATCGAATAAATTTGTGGTCGTACCCAGACTAACATCTCAAGATGTGTTTGATGAAGTTTGTCCTGCACCTTATGGAACTGTTTCTTCTGTTCGGTAGGTTCTCATTTAATTTAATAATAAATGAATGAGGTTTGCATTTAATGAGTTTTAATCATTGCAATCTGTTGCTCAATTCAACTGGGAATTTTTTCTCTAACTAATCAATGAAAGAACAAGGCAGCTCTGAGCCTCTGACTGACTGTATTGATGGAGCATTATGATCAATTGGTATTTACCATATAATCCGGAAGGAAATAAGATAGGACCTGCCAGCTTATTTTAATATCCTCAACTTGCTATGATAATGAAGATAACATATCTTTTAACCCGGCAACAATTTCCCGGAATGATTTATAGGTGTAATGTTCAATGTGAACTGACAACTAATTTAAAAATTGTTGCCATGAAACTCAGAGAACTAGAACTTATGCTCACAATTAATAGGTAGCTTAATATTTGTGATAAGTAATGAATTAAATTGATTTACCTCTGGAAATGCTAGAAGTTTAGAATACTTTACAAATTGACTTTTTTATATAGATTGTGCATGATTCTGGTTTCTGATAACTCATTCATGGATCATGCTGTCATATCGGGAAATCTCAAGAAATTAGTGGAAGAAGCAGAATCAAAAGAAGAAAATCTTAACGAATGGCTTGTATTCATGCAAGTTTATTTATCAAAACAACCTGCTTTCACTAGTTCTCTGAAGCACGGAGAAATAGATAAACCTCATGTAAGTGGTGACAATATTTTTGAATTTTTTCATGCGTGTATGTTAATCAAGTCTCTGGATCAGCGTGGAATAGAATTTTCTTATTTGTCCCCAGGAGGGGAAAGCTGATAGGATGGCATAATCATATATTACAAATCAGGGCCTCTCATTTGGTTACCAGTCCATATCATCATGGCAGTTGTTAACCAGATATTTGTTTCAGATATGGAAGAATCCATATTCAACCAACAGTAACACAAAACCACCTTTACTATGTGAGGAGTTAAAATACACCTTCCTGCCAAAATTCCATGCCTATATTCATGTACAATACCTAAAAATTGTTCTTTTTTTATGCAACGAGTGGTTAATTTATTGTTGTTTTTTCAGCTACTTTTATTGTGGAGACGTGGTAATAAAATGTCATCTGTGAAATGGCTAGACATTGATTTTCTAAAACAACCTTATAAAATTGCAAAACAAGAATTTCAAGTTTGCTTGAGAATGGCTCTGGAAACTGCTCACCTACAAAGATTCAAAGCACTGTGTCATTGTCACCACTGATTGATGAATTAGCACCAGTAAATTTTTCAGTATTATTTCATTTTTTATGGGAAAATTTTGTGTGAAACGAATTTTTAAGGTAGACTATGCTTAAGCTAAATAAAGTATTATGGGTCTCTGCTTTTCAATCGTGAGCCTGGCATTCATAAAATCTCATACAGTTGTTAGTATGGTGTTACTTTATGAGCTTAATTTCAACTCCTTATGTATGCATTCAGGCCTGAATCCAAAAAGAAAAATAATGTGAAATAATTTTATTCATGCCGATCATGTGTCATATTTGCAACAAATGCTTTGTATCTCATATTATATCCTTTTTTCATTGACTGAGAATATTTTTTTATACCCATACACATTTCTAGTGTAAGATTTTGATTTTCAGTTTTTCGTGTTGCAAGTTCTGCAAACAATGGTGGATATTCTAGAAACTACATATGGATATATAACTCGAATGGGTGAAAAGCAGTTCATGACATTATTGATGCTCCCTTTATTCTGCGTTTTCCTCTTTCACTCGTTGTTTTCAAGGTTTGTATGCACTAATTCACTTTTATTCAAATTCAAACATTTTTAAAAAATATAAGTATTATTCATTTCACTGTTCAGTGAGGAAGAGGAAAATGTCCGAAACACTAATCGAAGACGACAACAGACAAAAGTAAGAAATCTTTTTCCAGTTCTGGCTCAAATTCAAATGTCTAGGTGAATCAAGCATAGAATGCTTTGAATAGTTGAAACCCACAGAAAAATAGTTTTAGCTTTGGATATGCATATGCTCAATATATTTTTTTCTCTATTTAGGTTTCTTTTTCAATGTTGTGTGTATGACAAAGATAAAGTGTATTTGAACCCTAATGCTCAAAGAACTCATGTTCTGGTCTACATTTCTCAATGTGACCATGTTTCTTTATGCTATTTAGTAATCGCTCACACCATGACCTGTCGTCTTTTACCAGCTTCAGCCAACTGGCCCTATTCCAATTTAATCATGCAATTGTGTTTCAGTATACTGCAGCAAGCAAGACTTACAAGTCTGAAAATGACAGGTTGGTCGTTTGTATAATAATATATCGATACATGCAAATAACATTTTTGTGGTTAATTTACTTTATTTTTTTTCAGTGACACAACAGAAACTGAAGAAGATGTTGAAAACATCAATCTTGATGAAGCAAGCAAGGAAAATTTATCAGGAAATACAAGCATGTCAGTCTGTGTATTCTATTTTGTCAAATTTAGCCACATAATTTTCTGAACTTTAATGGGTTTGTTTAAAGATTTTGCATCACACATTAGCTAGTTAAAGACTGATCTGAACTTGATGCATGGTTGTTTTTCGTTTAACAAGCGAATATGTCTATTTTAATATATAAAGCTAAACAGCTATATGGAATACAAATTCATATTATATCTGAATATGTTTGAGAAAAAATATAATCAATTAATATCAAATTCTTTGGTAAACAGAAATAGGATGATAACACAATCATGATAAGACATTATTTATTTTATTCAATTTTTAAAGATTACGGAACAAACGAGATTTAGTGAGCAAACTTCTTCCAAACACTTATGAAACTGCAGTTTTAAATCAAACTCGAGGTCACATGACTGTTATTTTGCTACTTGATGAGGATTCTGACAATAGACATGATATAATGCAGGAGTATTGTGATGTCATGAAAGTTTTTACAAGGTTGGTTGATGCTTATAATACTCATGAAATCACTGTGTAACACTAGTTGTATTTTGACAACAGGCAAACAGCTCTTTAATATTTCCAGAACACTCCCAATTTTAATTTATAGGACCCTATTTTATGGACTAAGGCACACCACCGTCAATAAATTACTCAGATTGAGGTCTCGCCAATGCACAAGACGCATCGGGCTATAACACAAAACGGTGTTTAGGGAGTATTGACTCATCTCATTAAACCAAAAACTCTTATGTTTTATCATATCTCATTCAGAGAAAAACAGAAATGGCAGTTTGTTTATTAAACGATGGTAATGGTACTGGTTTTGAGTGAGGGCAATAAACCATTACATGATCCATACATCAATTAGGTGCACCAGCTTATAAGGCGCACGATCAGTAAGGTATTGTAAGTCAAAATCTTGGCTGATATTTATTGAGAATCAAAAATTCATTTCTTGCCCAATTTAAGACAAAGATGGCTCCAATTTCAGAGAATTTTATTATGATTTGAATCTGAAAATAGAACAATGATCATTGGGCAAGTGTGCGTGCATTAAGGAACAGTACTTGAGTTTTTTACTATTGCATCAATTTGGTGAATGGCTTTTCATAGCAGACATTGCATATTGATAAAAATGTAAATGTTATTATATATGTATGCTTCTGCAATATTTGATTCACTGAGCTCAAATAATTGAGATTTTTATAAATTTTCTTGTCAGGGATCCAAAAATCTCAGTAACCTATCTTGATGTGAGAAAATATTCAAGTTGGTACAATGAGATACGAAGGTCTTCATCTGCAGAACCACCGCAGGAACATGGTGAGTGGTTTTATGATATATGTTCTGTTCAATGGCTTTTAATTAATGATGGACTTGAATAACTTTTAGGAGATGGCAAAATGGAAGATATGTCATCACTGCATGGATACGATTTTGACAAAGTTAATTCATTTGATGATAGAACTTGTGAGCCAATTGCTAAGGCATGCGGAACAGTACTAGCTCTAAATGGTGCAAGACACTGGTATTGTATATTTGTACCCAGAGGTGTGAAATGGAGTTCCAGAGAAGCCGCACAAAATCTGGCAGAACATTCTACTGAACAAGAATCCTATAATGAAGCATTGTCTTGCTGGATGGATAGAGTCAGGGAGGGACAAATGCCCCGTTTGTATGTTCGACAATGGCCAGGACTTTATGTCCACTCTGAAGAAAACGAAGAGGAAGAAGATTGATTTTCCAATGTCTGTTATCCTGTCGGTTTTATGATATTGCTTGCCATTGTTGAGATTAATTAATAAACAAAATGCTACTTTGAACAAATATTTTTCAGCATAACACTTCAATCATCATAATTAGATATTTATTTATTTGTAAATAACATAGTACATTATATTTATGTAACTGTGGTGTTGTTTAGTGATCATCCACTCCAAAAACACTGTTAGTTATGTTTGACGCACCTCAACACACATTCACAAAAAGCACCAGGACTACTCTTTTGTGAGATCCCAGTGTGATGTATGTAATGCTATAATATTTTTACAACCAGTGCAATATTACTGTGAGGTTTGGCAATATTGTTGAAAATCTTATTCCCTGTGAATGTGTCTACATAGTCTTCGTAATTCATTTCGTTTATTACTGTATAACCAAATTTGTCTGTTATTTTGCGGGTATAACAGTTTGTTGCTATTGTATACATCTTTTTGCACCCTTCATTCCTTGCAATTTCTTCGGATCTGAAAAGTATTTTAACGAATATATCATTTGAAGCGAGAGCCATTATAACATAATTTACCTGATAGAACGAGAGAGAGACTGTTGATAAGAATATGGCCGAAGTCTTACTTTTAATGATAATGAACAAGATTCATAGTAGTTGAAAGCTTTCTTTGACCCCTTTGCAAGCGATTGCTTATCGTCTGTTTTTACAAACAACTAGTTTGAAAAAATACCTTTTGTATAGTTCAGTTGCAATTCCACGATTGCAGTAACTTTTTCTACAGCACAGTACAATAAAGTTCATGTAGTCTGTCGTCCCAATAATGTCAGAGGTATCTCCAGCAATATGATCCATAATCTTAAAAATGATATGGAAAGATGGTATAATATTCAGTACATCTATAGGGACCTATATTACGAGTTGACAGTTATCTATCTTACATGCATAGGATATCCATTTTCATCATAATCGAGATATTTTCTTGGTTTCTTTCCAAGTATATTTATTTGAATTGCTACCAATTTGTGAGACTGTTTGTCAAATGCTCCCAAGCTTGCGTGTTGCCAAAGGCCATCCTGTTGAATGATTAGATACATATTTATAATTGTCAAAGTGTAAAGCCAATTCGGATTGGAGATTAGTATAACTGACCAGTTGGCAACTTTATTTATTATATGCGCGTTCACGAGTCACAAGTTCAGCAATCTTTACGAAAATTGACAGGGAATCAACAGTAAAAACCACTTTTTTCATTCCTAACCAATCGAGCAAGCCCCCAAGAAATATTACGCTATGCAATATTTATTATACAAAAACACTATTACAGATGACACTGCAATGTGACTCACATTGACAAAGTCTCCAACATACATTTTAGTTTCATCTGGTGAAAAATTTGAAACCGCACAAACAGGTTCTCGTGTGAAATATTCCTCCAACATTAAATTCCAAACCAATGTATGGTCTTTCTCTTCCAATATTCGAAAATCCAAATACTCAAAAGACATATTTCAAAATTATATAATGGTAGGTTGTCTCCTGGTAAAGATATTTTAACTTCATAAGCTGATATGAACGGATTTTGTTTTCTCTGAATGCAATTTCAGAGGTGTTGAAAATACAGTGCAAAAAGAAAAACTATGTTCTTGCATGCTTATTTTGTGATGTACTACAAATTCAAAATATGTCAGACACTGGTTAACAATTTAGTGATGAGAAGACATCAATATGTATCAGTCAAATCTTCTGGAAACAAAAAAAAACTTTATACTCTATATGTGAAAAAGTGGTTTCATCCATGCACCAACATGGATTATCACATTCTATCATCAGTGGTAGTTCAGAGTATTTGACAAGCATATTTCATTAGTCACTGCTAAGACACATTAACTGCCGACTCAATTTTTGGAGGATGTCCTAATCTAGTATGAATAGCATACTTTATCACATTGGGATTAATCTCCATGTCCAGTTATTGAGAACTTCATCTCCTGGTGATACAGGATCAACTTCCAACCCTCTGAAAATCTTATTTCATTTTCCACTGGAAAATAATGTTCAATTAACCATGCAACCTCATTAACAAAAGTAGACATTGTAAATAAGCAAGCATTGGGACCTGCATCAAACGTATATGCTAGCTTTGTGCAACCAGTGGCTTTGTTATACGCATGCACTAAATCCATTATTGTGTGGGATTCGTTCGACAAATAATGCAGAGGGGGAAAGGAGTCCAGACAGACAGCATGAAGTTGATTGCTCTCTTTCATGATTATTTCCGCAAGCAGAGAAAAATCTTTGTCAATAATTGCTCTCTTCGCTTGTTTTATTCGCTCATCTACAATTTTTTCTGATCTATATTGAAGTAAAGTAGAAGTCTGAACGCTGGATTGCATTCCTTCAGTGCTGCCAACTTTTTTCCTTGCATCATTTACAACTAGTACAATGATCCGTAGTTCAGGCCAGTGAGATTCTGGTGCTATCTGCACACCGATAGAGTCTTCACCATCCGACTGTTCCCCCATCTGCCATTCAACAAATCCACCATGTAAGCTCCTAAACAAGATACAATAATAATCTATGTTCCCATTGAGACTTCATTAATATTACAAAAAAAAGATCTCTAGAAATCAATAAAATTGATCCGTATATATTTCTAATATTGATAGTAATATATATATAATTACTAATGATCGCTGATGATTCGAGCCTTTTTGGTTTCTGGGAAAAAATTGCTGAGTTCTATGTTCCAACATCTCTCCTACATTTATTTTAATATGCAAGAACTTCATTTCATAAATCCAAATTGTTGCAATTTTAAATTTAAAGCAAAAGTCGAATAACCTGCAAGCACTTCCAGAACCTTGACGAGCAATTGATGTCAAATCTCCCTGAACTTTAAACAACGTCCCAAGTCCGAATACAAGCGCTGCATAGCCTGAAGCAGAAGATGCTAAGCCAGCAGCTGTAGGAAAATTGTTTTCGGTATGAACTTGAACCTTTTGACTGTAAAATTTAATCTGGTCTGCTGATCCTTCACCTCCAGATATTGCTTGTTTTCTGGCAAGTCTACGAATCTAAAGTCACCACAAATGGTAGGTTATATTTTTAATATGGATAGCAAAAGCCTTCAATTTTTGACAAGAGTGCGATGAAGAAAAAATACGGATATGGGATTGAGCAATTGCTATGAAACTGACCCCAGCTCACTGAGCACTCTTTATTTCCTGCCTTGAGAATTGAACATTGCACATAAAGTAGTTGTTTGAAACTGGTTGAAATGTATTGTTGGTCATTTGAATGTACAAAGTTGTCAAATCAGTATATATTCCAGATCAGTGGGCTCAATTTGCATCTGTTACTCAGCAGATATCATTAGTTAAGATAGTATAGACATGAAGCATAATGAAATTATGAAAACATGCTTCTACTCAGCGTCGTCTTACAAATTTATTATACGCTCACATTGTTGAAGCAGTTGAGGAGTCTTTGATTTTTTTGAATATCTTGCTCCTTTCCATGTAGCCAAACCTCATCCTCTTCAAAAGTAGGTGATGTTTCAATTCTTGTTGTAGTTTTTAATTGGTCCTAAACATAATAAAAAGCCATATGTATTCCGAGTATACTAATGCTAAGCCGTTAGCTTACTCACTCAGCGAAGATTTACACCATCTCTTACTGTCTTATAGGAGCAAACTTCCAATAACCCTATGTGGGTCTGAGGTCTTTTTACTCACTTGTATTATGAACAATGAGGTGTGCCACTGAGAGAGAAAATTTTTGAACTATCCAGCTATCTGAGAGGGTTTTCAGTTCAACCAGCGTTAGTACAATTCGGACAACTGATGAATCCTTCGGGCATGAATGTTAAAAATAATCACTTCCCAAAAATACTGAAATAAAAGTGTGGTCGCTGTGGTATCTTGCGCTATATTGATGTGATGAAATTATTACGATCAATCATGTTTGATTGATTTTTCGTGGCAAAGGACAGACCACAATAGTTAGACATTGGATACAAATAGAAACAAAGTAAGATATATCATATGATATGCCATTTTGCTGGTACATGGCATTCACAATTTAAAAATCAGGAACTTTTATACCTACTTGACTCAAAGTAGCACTCAAGGAAGAGTTGATTGGCAAGTTGAATTTCGTACAACGTTTTCCCCAATATTTCACAATTGCGATGTTAGTGGGAGCTGTAACGGTGACGGATAGCACCTCATCTGACATGGTGCTTTTTAGCGCACGATCCTAATTCAGTAATTGCAAATGCTGACTAGTTCGAACTTCGAAGCTGTAGAGTGGAGATGATTTACATCACTGTACTAGTTAAAATCTAGTTAGCTTACGCTTTTTGGGTCTCATGTAGTTTCGTATCTAACATAGTTCTAGTGGGCGTAGCATAACAATTTTTCCACGTGTCAATCCTAACCCCCACCTGACCACACCATCCATAAATTACGTCACTACGACATCAGAGTGACGTAATAGAGCCCTTCAAACTATGCGCGAAGACGAGAACCCGAAATCGAACAGCCATTTCTCTCGTTTTCTCGTCGCAACGATCCCGATAGGAGAGAGATCGCTGACGTTAGTCAGTTCTTTATCGTCGGCGCCGATGCCATTTCGGGCGATCGTACGAGAATTTGGCGAGCTCTATGACGTGATTGTGACGTCGTAGTGACGTAATTTTTAGATGGCGTAGTCAGGTGAGGGTTAGGATTGGCATGTCAAAAAATTGTTATGCTACGCCTACTAGAAGTACGTTAGGTACGAAACTACACGAGACCCCGCTTTTGTTCGTTTGTTTATGTTACGCTGTTCTCTCGTTACGCTCAAAGCATGCTCATTGGCTCAAACTGACTATATTAAAGTCACTTTGGTTACGCTTAAATGCGACTACACTATCGCCTCTCTCGAATGCACTACAATTACATATCCGTTTTGTAATTTGTGACACGGATTTATTTGATGGGCACGAGATGTATGCTACATCAATGACATTAAACATGTCATTGGCTACATCTAAAGATCGTTTAGCTAATATGTTGTTGGGCACGAAATGGACATATGTATCGTTTTTCCTATTATGTTGTTGTTGCATTAGATGGTATTTTTCTTCTTGTTGTTATGAAAAAAATGCTTTTCTCATTCACTAATGGTCTAATTGCTTTAAAAAATTTCAGTGTTTAAAGATTGTATTTTTCGCTAGTAGTCTGTTAGTCCTACTTTTATTTATTACTGATTTTTCTATGAACCCTATGAAATCTGATATTTTATTCAAAACTTCACTAATGGACCAATTGCTTTGAAAAATTTCAGGGTGTAAAGATTGTATTTTTCGCTAGTAGGCTCCTAGCAAATTTATGCCCAAATGGTATCATGATTTAGTACTATGGTTTTCTGATGTAATAGAAGAGTCATCTTAGTTGGCTCGTCGACAATTGCAGAAAACCGCTGTTAGATATAAAAAGAATTTTGATGCTAATGTGTGTCCTACAACTTTCCATGCTGGTGACTTAGTGCGGTACTTTTGGCCGCCAAGACAATGAAACTTGACTCTGGTTGGGTCCTACTTTTATTTATTACTGATTTTCTATGAACCCTATGAGATCTGATATTTCATTCAAAACTTCGCTATATTTTAATTTTTATGTGCTTTGATCCGCCAAGCGTGACGACTGTCTTGTACGTTTATCATAAAATCATTATTAATTATACTGGTTATTAAATAGGATCGGTGGCAACTCGAATACGTAAATCTTAAAAAAAAATGAAATTTAATTTATTCTAATCTGTGAAAGTTTCCTTTTTACGATCTTCTCAAAGAAACAAAAATTTGCTACACAAAGAATGACCATGTGGCTTTTCATGCATAGCAGTTTTGTACACTGTACAGCACTTCTAACGGCTTTTTCCCGAAATTTAGACAGGATTTAGATTTATTTTCTTCTGAAGAATAACACCTTTTTTTTGGAAGAGGTCTTTTGTGTTCATTTATCAAAAATAAAATTACATTGTAGAAAATCACGAGATTTTTTAATAAACATTATATAAAAACAGACATCCATTGTTTTTTATTTGTATTTCCTTTACAAAAATCAAGTGACAAATATCATAATTGTGATTGTGGAATCACACAATCTTGAATAGTGGTGTGATCTTCACCTTATCTCAGGTCATTGAACCTTCCCTCACCCACACATTTTAAATTTCTTATAAGGGTAGGGTTTATTTAAATCAATTTTGAAATACAAATTATTTATTATTTCCAGGCCAGGTCTTATTTTCGAGGTAACACGGTAGTTTTGCGATGATTAGCCATTGCTGTGTTCTGTGTTATGTCATAAAAAGTTAAATGGGTCGCAATAAGCTGTGGTAATAAATAGTGGGTCCCAGCTCTAAACAGTTTGGGAACCACTGTTCTAGATGTATCTAATAATTTTACTCTAAACAAATTGATGCTAGGAAGAGAAATCGCTCTACTCATAGATTTAATGTTCGACAAACCTCCTAGCAAATTTATGCCCAAATGGTATCATGATTTAGTACTATGGTTTTCTGATGTAACTGAAGAGTCATTTTAGTTGGCTCGTCGACAATTGCAGTAATAGAAATGTTGAAATGATATATATAGGAGAAGCTCTTTCTGCGAATGTGCAACAGCAGTGTTCTGCGAAACACAGTTTGAGAAACGCTAGCCTGGTGCATCGCAGCTGTTTCGGGACTAATTTTTGATTTTTGCAACTAATCTAAAGCTCCTCGGAGGACAGAATGACAATTAAGTTATTTGATTTACATCTAATTTTTGTAAACACGCTGAAAACTGACACGTAAATAACACGCAAAACCGCGATAACGAGCCAATGTCTGAATTTTTACAATCATACTTGCATATCTGCCTGAAAAAAAAAAATATCTGGGCGACTACACAACGTCATCGTTGACTTGTTGCTGATTGGTCATTGTTACGAAAATATATGCTCGGAGACATCCATTGAATCACCCTCTCGGTAGGAGGTTGTGTCAAGCGAGTTGTCCATGTAGGCGAGTTGTCCGCCTCTCACTGCAAACGAACTGGTGGAAATTTCCCCATAGTCATGTAATCACCTCCACTCCACATCTTCGAACTAACGCAGCAACGTTTTGCTAAATTGGTGGTGTCGTCGCATTGAGAACAACTCGATTCTCTCGCAAACATTAAATTCAAAATTTTCGCTCAAAAATTATTGAAGCTAGGTTGAATTAATTTCACTTATTCTCTAAGCCCCATAGTTATTATTATTCAACTCACTTTTTTGCTGTTTTATTTTGTAAAATTTTATACTATGCTGAAACCCCTGAAACACTTTCGTGTACATATATTTGAGCGTTACTCTCTAGTTTTCCTGTTAAAATCGTATTGCATTGACCCATTCTTCGATGTTCATTGCGCTAAATGCATCTATTTGGGAAATACGATACTCGCGCACTTATTTGCATGTGCGTTGTCATTTTTATAGCAATTACTTATCTTGTTTATTTATCTACAAGTACAAGAGGTTCTTCATGCACCAGACACAGATACGGTTAGATCGCCGCTGGATTTTGTAGCTAGCCCAGCCACGGTATGCAATGAATTCGATGCAAGCTGGGGAATTTAAGTAGCGTTATTTGCGAGGGGCGATGTTGTATAGTATTTCATACCAGCATCCGGGGCGTGCTTACGTAGTTAATAAAATGAATGCATTTATTGTCATATTGAGAATCCTCCTTCCAATCGGGCCAGTAAAAGCAAGGTGCCCCAAATGGCCACTATTCCGCTGCCCCTGTTAATCTTGATACCAATATGTTTCACTCCTTTTGTTGTTGTTTTTATATGTTTAAATTTAATGTGGTAGTGTGAATTTTCCCGTCAATCGGCCTTAAAGGGCCACTATTCCGCTGCCCTGTTAATCCAAATACAAATATGTTCCACTCCATTTGTTGTTGTTTTTCTTCCAGGTGGGTAAGCGCGTATCCATGTACGTTTTCAACCTTATTTTAGGCTATGCTCATCCTTCCTTGTTTTTTCTGCCCCTTGTTCACTTGTTTGAATTTTTGTGTTAGGTGTTGTCGTGTGTGGTGCAGAGGAGCAAAAATATATGATTGTTGGATTGATCGATAGAACTGAAATTTAGGGAATATGCTCAGCGGAATTGCATGGGTTAACTAACTATTCAAAAGAGCGCGCAAAATCTACTATAAAAAAGCTTTAAAACGTGATAATATATGTAAATCCTATCCCAATATCATGCACCCACCTACTCAAGAATATTGGGCCGAACCTGTCGGAACATATATATACGAAAGCAGTATGGTGAAAAGTGCGGTAAGAGCTGCATTTTCAACACATATATTGATTATAACACTAATGTTCCTCAACCCCATCACACTAATTTTGTGCCGACACTTAGCATTTTAGTTTAATATTATTAGGTTTATTTATTTGTTATTAAATGTGTTAAAATACTATATATAAATGATTAAATTATAATATGATAGGTAAAGCTGAAGATCATCGCAAAAATCAAGCAATATTATGATGAAAACGGGAATCAAGAATACAGTGCAATAGATATCGCAATCATGTAAATAAATTAGGTAGTTAAATAAATTTATAATTCTGAAGAAACGCAATAAAATATCGCAAGCACAATATCAAAATGTGAATATGAAATGGAAGAAGTGAAACTTTGCTACATTAAAGTGAAAATATGCACGTGGTATGAAAGTAAATATGTGGTCACCAAAACCAAGGAAGTTCGATTTACTACTCTGCATACATTGAAATATTATGATACAGTGCTTTACAATTGTGATGTTGCTTACAGATTCAAATGTATTGATTAAACATGTTGAGTTCACACAACCACAAATCAGCTTCAGTTGCTTTGCTAGTAAAAATTATTAGTTTAAATTAATTTGATATATAGCCTACCATTGATATTACATTAATTACAGTGTTTTTACAACAAGAGATATTGTCGAATGAGGTGTTTTCATGTTGGCAAAAGGCTTCTCACCAGTTACCTCATCAATATAATTATCATACTTGATCTCATTGATTAACTTGTACCCAATTTTTTCTGTGCTACGTCTCGTATAGCTGTTTGAGCAAATTGCAATGAGTTTCTTGCATCCATGTTGATTAGCTAGTAATTCAGACCTAATTGAGGAAAATTGCAAAGGAGAATAAATGTCGAAAAATTAGTTATACCAGATGTTGATTCTCTTCCGGTAGATTGAATCAACTTGAAGCCGTATTATATACAATATCATTGTTCAACCTGATAGTGTTTATATTAGTGTTATTTTATTAATTAAATTTCACAAAAATGATACTAGCAGGATCATTCCCAAACAACTTGCTTACCTTCTGTACAATTCTGTTGCTATTCCTCTTTTTGCATAGGCTTGGTTGACAGATACGAATATATGTTCCATGTAATTTTCAGTTCCGACTACATTTTTCAACATGCCTCCTTTGATAGCTCTTAAAATCTAAACATAAAAGTCAATGTAAATATCACAAAGGTATAAGCTGTTTATAAAGTAAATCATTCTATATTGCCATCAATATAATGTTTACTTATACATATACCTCCAAAACAACTTGGTAAAAAATAATGTACAATGATTAAAACATTGCTAGGCTTGGCTTAACATAAACAAATCAGACAAATTTAAAGTTGGACAATACCAATCAATAATCATACACGTTGGACTTTATGCATTTTAGCAGTCGACATGCTTTCGTCTTCTGGCACAAGTCGATCATTGTTCTTTCCAAGACTATTGACTCGAACAGCACATAGTTCACCAGTAGAATTATCAAACGCCCCAATGCTGGCAGCTTGCCAAAGTGAATTCTGTGACAAGATGTGTCAACTGGTCAATGAATTTTCTAAAATTTACAAATTATACAAGACCACCATTAGCTCACCATGACTAAAGCTCACCATGGGTTGATATACATAATTTGTTCATTAAAAATATAATTCTAATGGTCAAAAGTTCTATCCTGATTTTTGGATTCTGATTGCAAATTTCACGGCTTTTTTGTAAGACAGAGTTGGTTGAGTTCATATTCTGAGACTTTTTTTTATTACAGAACATTAATTTCTGTCAATAAGTATCGTAACCATCCATGTGTTATCTTGAAAGGTCTTAGAATTTTTTTCCTGAATTTTGCTAAATACAAAAACACTTCAAACTAAGTCTTCAGAAATTTCTGTTGGTAATTACCTATTAGACTCACTGCAGCAAGCTACACAAAACAGTTCTATTTGCAAATGATGGTATGTTAACGATACCTTAGATAGCTAAAATAAGAGGCTATTTATTCGAGCACACTAAAATGTCAGAACAGAAATGTGAGGTTGCAAAATTGCTATTATTAACTCAAAGTAATTCAACTGTAAATGGCTATTGAAATTTTGTTGAAAAAGTGATTATCAAACCTTGATTAAAATGCGCGGAAATTCCTTTTCTTCTTCTGCTTTGACATTTGCAGCAGCGCTCAAAGGTTCGAAGGGAATGAAATGTGTTTGTATGAATTTTATTACTTCATCCAAGTCTTCGTCTGTTAGCAATCGATACGTCAGTTCAGTTTTGGATGCCATATTATTTCCATATGTTTTCCCGTAGTTATCTCTTTCTTATGCGTAAGGCACTGAAATACCTATGCGAGCCCAAATCTGCAAATGTCAGTAAGCGATGATGTGCGCGTGACTGCGAGCTTAGTCAGGACATTTTTGTTTACTTTGTGACAATCGGGACTTCCCCTGAAAATATACTTGTACAAATGGTTGCCAGAAATATTCGTGATACAGTCACAAATCAGTTGAAAAAGTTGGAGCCATTGCAACTGAAATACGTATGAAATAGAATTTTGTGTTATTTTAAACAACAAATAAATATTAGATAAAACTAGATTAAAGTTTTATAGCAGTGGTGTGAATTAGATTTTTCTGCTCGTCGGGAATCGTGTAACTACCGGTACATAGCGTCATTATGTTGTAATCGGAATCCAATTCTGCTAATAATAATGCAGTTGCATGAAACCATTACTGAGTTCAAAACTGAATACCGGTGAATATTGGGTGAGCGAACACGTACTACTTCTATTATCAATACCTTTCCATCTAAAATCTGTACGTTTCAAACCTTACTCTAGGTTTTGTTCGCTTTCCCGATTCTATAATCAGTTACTTTTACTTTTGTTTTTATCTATTTTTTTTATCGTCTATTGCTGATTATGGAGTCGAAATAAACTTATACTTATACTTGATTTTTAAACTTGGAAAAATTGAAATTTGATTTCTTCATAATTTAAGTATCAATAGATACTGATATATGCACATGTATTAAATGCACATTTGTTTATAGTCTATATCAGTTCTAGCAGCTATAAGTACAGTAAAAATATCTGTTACCCGGTATGGCTTATGACGCATATGTTGTACCGGTATACCTACCGTAGTTCAGATGAGATTTCTATTACGGTACATTACCGGTATTCACTAATTCAGGTATTACAGTATTGGGATAAGGATTTACATATTTATCCCGGGGGAGAAGGAAAGTCGATAAGCCGGCTTAACCATATGGCGAACCACGGTCTCTCGTCCGGTTACCATTCCATGTCAGCATGTCGGGTAAGGAATTAGTTAGTTATTTGTTTTCGGAAGCATGGACATGATGGTAGGAAGCCGTAACCGACCAGTGGTAAGTTACGTGAACCACCCTACGGCGGCGAGGAGTCCAACAATCCTCTCGCACATAACCATCCCGCATGGGATTCGAACCTGCGAACCCACGCAAAGTAATCAGAGGTGCGGTGGCGAGCGTATTTCTAACACGATGAGCCACACCGCCGCGCTTTATTATTGCCTTATCCAAGTCTGCAAGTGCTTGATTCTATTATTTGTGGGTCATTTTAATTTCCAGTCCGGCATTAAATTCAAACAGGGGTATTTATATGATGAAATATTGAAGGATTTGTGAACAGAAAATGATCACAGGAAGGCAAAAACAAGGATGTGTGGAATTATTACGAATGCTTCCACAACATGAATTGATTGGTCTGTGTGATACAGTCACCAACAAGCTTATTGCATCTACTAACACAGAAGGTATTCATTTTACATTTGTTTCAACTATTTCGAGTTGTGATTGTTTCAATTCAGTCATTATTTTGTAATCGGAATCCAATTCTGCTAATAATAATGCAGTTGCATGAAACCATTACTGAGTTCAAAACTAAACACTAACAGCTTGTCAAACAGGAAAGTACACTGGTTTGCATCGGCATAGATATTCTGAAATCATTATAGCAATACATTCAAAATAATCTCACCAAAGCACATTATCCACAGATTATTACGTCAAATCATGCCAAAAAAGACTAAGTTATTTATATGGATTTTTTCACATAATAATCAAAAATAACTTTGTGTGTTTCCAAATTCAGCAGTTAATGTGTATTCTGTCATCTTTGAAAATTTAAATATGTCACTGTTACTCTCGAGATGTCTCTATACATATTAAATATACGGTATATGCTTTCTTTGTGGGTTAAAAATTCCATGTTCCAACCCCATGATGTTTTGAGCTTGTTATGCTATACCAAACTGGAAAGATTCTGTCCATTTATGAATAAGTAAATGGATTACAATATCTTATTTACAATTTTATCTTTCAGAAGCCATTGATGCGATTTTGACATATTCCAAAACTGTTGAAGAATTGCTAAATCGTAAGAAGCTGAAACATGAAATTTTATTTCAATATTTGCATTCGAAGAATGTTGGCGGAATTAATCCAAAATGCACAAAAATTGAACTTGTCAGTGTGATAATTGATTTTTGGAGTAAGGGTGTTGTTGAAAGGAATAAACATTTGTCATCACACTCAACCCAGGTTAGATTGAATGGAAGATAATAAAAATCACTGGAAAATCGATAAGAAGTATCAAGGATATCTGCTCTATGGCTACAGTATATCAATATTCCAACTACAAAATCTTAGCCCAACTAATCAAAATTTTACAAAACTAAAGAATTGATACCAGAAGTAGAAAATATTTTAGCAAAATAGAAGTTAGTAATATTCTGTTATGCCCCGCTGCTGATCGCATGTTCTATTTCCCCACATCACTCTGTTTATTCCAGAGTTTCCCCACTGGTGAGTAATTGGAATAGTGCTGGATCTGAATAGTGCTAATCTGGATTGTTGAAATAGTCATATCGAATATCAGAAATTTTGTATTTTATATATCCTAAATTCTTCGTGCATTTTCACTTATAACTACCACTCGTATATTAATCCACATGAATTTCAGGGCCAAACTTCTCAACAAATTACGATTAATTATAACACGTTTATACATCATGAGGAGAAAAATGTATTGAATGTTGTGTCAGCTTCTTCCGTTGGTGATGGATTAGACACCGGTCAACAGTTGGCAAAAGAATTTATATTATGGTTTTATCCAATGCTTAATAATATCAAAAGTATGATTTTCCTTTCGTTTATATTGTTAGTTTGTTACTTGATCAATAAAACCATGATTCTCATGTTTTGATAAATATGACACTAGTGTCCACTACTTGCAATGATTACCTTTGACAATTAGGGAAAATGAACAAATTACGGTAGGTTTTGTAAGTTTGGTATGCTTTGATCTCGCTCAGCAGTCTTATGTAAAATCAGTTATATCTGAATGATTCCAATTACGGTAGTAGCAAAAGTTGAACAGACTTGAATAAATCACATTGTAACTGCAAATTTGAGAATATGGAATTGAATTACCGGTTATTGGGTAGACCTTCATTTGTTTTTGAGGCTTCATTATATAACTAGCTTTATTTTTAATAGTCAAATCAGTGGTTGGCAAACATTACGCACCCAATTAAATTTCCACCGATAAACAATTACTACTTTAAACTTCATATTATTGCGCTCCCGCAACGTTTCATGTTTGTCAAGTAAATGACACATACAACTGACATGTGCTTTCGCTCACTCAAATTACTACAAAACTAATGCCGTTCAACATTCATTGTTAGAACTTACATATTCGTGTGTCACAGTTTGTCGACCACAGGTCTATTCTATTAAGCCTATGTTCTTCTGATCCCCAAATAATAACTTTGATATTTCAGATAACCAGTCACCAGGTTGGGGAGCACAGAATTTCTGTCCTGATGCTGTACTTGTACTCACTGTGATTAGAGAAGGCAATAATCAACATGAAGAAAAGTTTATTGGTGCTCAGGCAGCACAAGAAAAACTTGCCTCATTAGTTATGAAGGTAAATATAACTACCTATTTCCCAACAAGAACAAATCTTTCCTTGTAAGATTGTTTATCATTTTATCTGCGAAATAGTGCTGAATTAGATTGCTAAAAATAAGATGCCATGGGAAAATGGGCATTTTATCATTGAGATAAATACAAGATTTTGATTTGAAATGCTGATTTACCATTTTTATCCAATAATGAAAAAATGATTATGGAAAAAACATCAAGATCAGTAGTCTGGTAATAATTACCTACCTAGATTTCACAGCCTCTTCTTTGTAAAATCAGTCAATAGGTAACACCCACTGAGTACTTGTGGTTAAGGAAACAACTGAACAAGCTGTTATGGTATTTTAGTGCTATATGATCTCTAATTTCCGTGATGTATGTGTTGGGAGTATAACGAATATGTGTAGCAATTACCAAAATCATAGAGGAAAACATTTTTTCTTATTATAGGACAATGCAGTATTGAATCCGAATACAACTCCTGAAGGATATAGAGGAACAATCAGTCCACATGGTCTCGCAAAAGTTGCTGTGTGTGGAACTTTGCATAAACTCAACGAGACTTGTAACTCACCCAATAGACAGATACTTATGGGAGTTTTTGAACAATGCTTCGGACTTGTAAGAGATGTCAGCGACGGAAACAGATGGAAAATCAAATATACTGATTTAAAAATGAAACTTATGAGTAACTACGGTCAAACACCTCATATGACTTTAAGTGAAGATGTTATAAGAGCTATTTCTGAATGATACCAATGTATCTTCTATTACGATCTGATCTGTCGCAGTTTGTTTCTGGTAAGGTGGAAATCCAGGATATTTTCACTTTGCATTTCAGGCACTACCGTTGTACATATATATGCATAGTGTTGTTGTGGAGCAGGGGTGTGCAATCTGCGGCCCAAAGGGAAAAATTGTGCAGCCCGCGAGAAGTGCCAATTTTGAGTTGTGGGTGGCCCACGAAACGGGTTTTGTATCTGGTACGTGTGGGTAATTCTAATCTTTTTGTGAAGCCTATACCTGAATCCAATTATCTATGATGTTACAAAGCCCCCCAATAGCTGGCAAGCAACGCATGTCCCAAGATCTATAACGTAAATCTTTGCGAGCACGGCTACTAGAAAACCTATAAATTAAGATGTGGCCCGCTGTATCTGTATCATATCTGGGCTCCTGACCCTCCCTGACCCTCCTGTATAAAAAAAGGTTACATACACGTTGTACGTACGCACTAAGTGATGAAGGCCTCATTTCCGCATGAATTTCTATTATACATACACGCTGTACTAAGTGATGAATCATGCCTCATTTCCGCATGAATTTCTATCATTTTTTATGACTAAGTAATAATGAGTAATGACATATCTTTCTATCTATTTGTATGTAACCTGCGAATAAAACTGATCTACCAAGTTGATGTCTGTCTCATTGTGTTTCTACTATTCTGTTTACTCAAATGTAGAATAAAAAATAGATGTAAAATAAAAAATATAAAAAAATTTAAAGATCAAGACAACACCGGAAATTCACCTTCAGGCTCGCAACTGAATTTAACTTTCAACAAACATACCAAGTATTTGATACATGAGATTATATTGCACAAAAAATATGAACTGTGCGATCAAGTATCTTGTTGATCCCCACATACATTTATTTTTTTAACAACATCATCTTCTTTATAAATTCCAGTAGTTAAGCGCACATAACAACTGGAAAAAATATAAAACTGCAGATAATAAAAAAAAAAAAACTAGAATCAGGTAGTCCAAAAAATTTTATCATACCGATGAGCTGGTGCAAATCATGAAACAGAGACAAGTACCTTTACTTACAACAATACAAGAAACCAAAATATCACTGCATTCATGCAGTGCAATATTACTATGCATAAATAACATCAAGTACAAGGGTGTGTGAGAAAAAGGTTGGAAAGTACAATCTTTTTAGCGGAAATTGTGGGAATTTGAGCTAGATATACTACAATAAAGATTCAGGAAATTAAAACTATTTTTTGTAGTTTTCTATGGAGTAAAATTTTGCCTGAATTGTAAATTTCAAGCATATAGATTAGATAATTTTTTAGGGCAGATTTCAGAATACCATGACCTCAACAAATCATGGTGTAGATGCCGAGATCCTATCCTATATATGGCAGTGTATTTGTGCCTATTTTTATTTACACGTATACCAATTTTGCAGCACTTTTATTTTCCCCCTAGAGATTTGTCCCGATTGGTGATGTGGTGGAATGCATAAAATTCATCAGAATTAAAATGGGAACATTTCATATTTGTCACCATGTAGATGTGCAGATAATATATGCTAAAATTTCTGTTGATCCTCACTGATTTGTTCCGTATTGAAAATGAAAAATGGACAGAAGTTTAAACTATAAAAAAATCAATAGAAAGAATAAAATGAAGCTGTCAATAACACAAGTATCAATTTGTCGTCTGACAAATCGCTAAATGAAAAAGGAACATGTCCTCCACTGAATGCTGTGACAAACTAAAAGGCAGACTTATTCGGATAAAAAAAAATGCGCAATGAATGAAAAATAGCTCTGGTATATTCATTATCATCATGAAGCATTTTGTTATTTATTGGGTGAGTAAAGAATAAAATAAGAGAACGACAATATTTTTTTTAAAAATAGCTTAGTGAAATTTGTTGGTCCTTAAAACTGGACCATGGTATCACTGTTGTATATGTAACACATTCACTGCTAATTCAATGCATAAAAATACTAGAAAAATCAGTTCAAGATCAATTTTCCCATGCATTGCTGAGCCATGCAACACAGCCATATGTATGTCACGTCACGATGCGTTCTCGCATAGAATGCGTATCATGTGAAGTTTTCTACAAGTCTGTAACAACAGTTTGCTGCTTTTTGACAGATGGTTTTCTTGGGGCTGGCTTAGGTTTATTAGGAGGAACTCGTGGAGGGGCGACGGCTTTACCACCAAATTGGCTTTTCCTTTTATCCACTTTTACACTGTTATTGTTACTTGAGTTTTGTTGGCTTGTACTAGGTATAAGTGATTGTGGTGCTGTTGTTCGAGTGGGGCTTTTACTGAGTGGTACAATGTCAACTTCTTCGTAAGCATGATAACGCTCTCTAAGCTGAGATGCAGGGGTAGAAGGCATACCAGTGCTTCGTTTTATTGGTTTTTCAGGTCGTGCCACTTTAACAGAATCGCCCTTGTTTAAGCTGGCATCATCCATTGTAATGGACCTCGTCACTGACTGCCTAGATTTAATCGGTGGTTTCGATCCAAAACTGACTTGCCGTGGTATTTTGCTATCATTATCAGCGCTCACATACACATTATCAGGTGCACGAGTACTTCTCATACTCGATGAAGTACCAACAACAGATTTTGGTACAGTGGTTGGCGATTGTCTTCCTTCATTATCTGTAGAATTGGAAACCAACTTTGAGCCAGTAGTTGTCGCTCCAAGTTCCGGTATCTTTGGTAACTCAAGGCAATATAGCAAGACTCCAACCTGAAATAAATAAAAGGGAATTTTTTTTTACCACAGCATGACGACCAGAAAACTCCATCAAGAATTAACAATAGAAATTATGGCAAGATTACATAACTTGAAATTAAATCTTGAAGATAAATTGATGTCAATCAAATTCTTCAGATATAAAGATCAACATAGAATTGCTGAACAGACTTAAACAGTAACAATGATTATTATTAAAGCTAGAAGCCCCAACTGTCATTTTGAAGTCAGTCAATTCTACAAAAGGAACTTTTATATACTAGTTTTATATACTGTGTTTTATTTTATATACATGATAGATCATTGGAAATGAAATTTAAATATGGGAAATGCATGGCCATCTGTATGACCACTACCAGGGTTTTCCGTAACACCACCCACGCCTATTAAAAGAGACAAACTGGGAAAATTAGACATGGCCAAAACTACTGCCTGGGCTGTTATACAGCAGTTGCAAAATGCCTTTCATTTGCTCTCGCTGAACAGCAGCTATACAGTCATGAGTCTCGTAATATGGGATCTAGCTGCTTTGAGATAAATATTCATGCCAAAAAAACAAATTTCTCGCCTATTTTGTCTCTTATTATTTCATTGCACTCAGGGCAGATATAAATTCATACTTTGGTTACTCAAAGGTTAGGGTAAATCTCAGTACCATACAAACACCCACCTAAAAAGGAACCCATGGACAAACCAGGTAGAAAATCCCAGTAATGTTAGAAACAACCAATTGTTTGAGTCTGGTTATAAAATTCTGATCAATGCATACCTGATAATGTACATCCATTCTTAATGCACTGAGCATAAGAACATCTGAATTTTTTGTATCAGTTTTAGTTGGATCTTCTGCAGGTCTCAACAATGTTGGTCCAAAAACAGTGGCGAGATTATGGAGAGTCATCTTATTTACAGAATCATTTTCTGCAACTCTGTAAATTATAGCAATGTTTTAATTATTCCAGTATATCGAAATTAGCAGACATTTGGTACAATAAAACCAATTTGTTTCCACACTTCTATCCCAAGTCTTTGTACAAACACCCCCATACAAATATGAGTTACCATGAATGTAAGTAAGTACGTTTGGTTTGTGATTTCTCAATTTTGCAAATTCTGTCAGAGGTGTTGGGCATAAGACTGAAAAAAGGACTTGCCAATGCTAGACCTCAACTTTTCTAATTGATATACCAATGTCAAAAAGGGAATGAGCGCTGCAGCAAGCTCAATCAGTTAAGTTGACACAATTATCAATGTAGTAGGTTAGACTGTCTACCTAGATGAAAATTTTTATTCAAGAAACATCAGCCAAGAGTAATGTATGATTGGAGAAATATGAGAATTAGAAAGTCCGTTTTGTTTATACAAAACTGTGTGAAAATCAACATAGTGACAACTTTTTATTAATTTTTTATTTATTTTTCTTCAGTATGGAGTGAAGTTTATTGGGCATATATATACAAAAATATTGCTTCAATCAGATTTACCCAAGTTGAAATTTCAGTATATCATTCCTGGCCAACACATACATATAACTTGGCTCTGCTTACCTTAGCAAATGTTGTCTTAAATAAATCAGTGTGTGATAATTAGCTGGTGGAAGATCTGCCAATAATCTCCATATTGTATTATGTTTGGTCTCAGGATCCGCCAGTCCTACTGCTTCAACGAAGTCACTGTATTTTGCATTTGTGAACAAAGGTTCAGGCAATTCTCTGAAGTAAAGTTTCAAGCATCCAGCTACTGCATTTATATCGACATTACTGAGCAGAAGAGAGACATCTTTGCGATCTAAAACAAAGCATGGGATAATATTACATCACATAATAGAGTGCACATTTACGTTGTACCTTCTGAATTTTTTTTTTCAGAGCAATGATGAGGAATATGAATAGAATACAATTCAATTATAAAAGAGATTGAAATGAAATTCATCAATGTTTTGAATATTTTGGTTCACTGAAACTGTGGTTTCATAAATAAAAGTTGATCACAACATTTTCTGCAAGGTTAAATTGTCTGCTTTTGATAATTCCCACTTACTACTGAAATATTTCAGTACATTGGCTATATTTCACTAATTAGGTCTAAGTCCAAGAAAGAACTTCAAATCACAGGTCAGAACATGAGAGAAGTCAAGGATTAAAGTGATAAATTTTGTGAAATAGACAGGAATGGTCAAATTGAATAAGCTACTATTAGGAATATGCTATAAAATAGTATTAAAATTAAAATAAATTGTGACATTTTTAACAAGCAAAACGATGTAGTAAACATACTCGTATATTCAATGAAATTGAAAACGCAGGGAAACCTAATATGGAAAATGATTTAATCGGGTCAATTATTTACAGCTTCAAATGTTTATTTATCATACAGTCCAACCTGAATTGCTCAATTAAAATTTTCAGAAATAAACTATTCCAAATTATATTTAAAATCAAGAATTTACAGTAATCAATTTATATTGGATTCAAATATTCGATTCATTTTGAACATGGTTGATCATGACACTAACTTCAGAACTTTACTATGTATTCTGAGAGGTAAAATTATTTTTCTCCAAAGAAATATACAGTCTGCTAGTCTGATTTTAGAGACTGCAGTGTTATTGATATCAAAAAAAGCGAAATCTGTTATTAGGATTATCTTACTTGTATCAAAATAAGCTTTCAAGTCTTTGACTTCCGAAGCAACACCTGATACTCTGTATATTCCAACTTCATCCATTCCTCTACTTTCAATTTCTTGTACACACATTTTTACAATGTGGGGGAAATGGTTATGCTCTCTCCTACAAAATGAGGAAGGGAGGATATAAGAATAAACAAAACTAGTTGATGAGTACCAGTATCGCAATTTAATATTTCAAAGTTTGTAGGCAGTGGTCATGAAGAA